TTTTATCCAAAAGATGTGATAACAAGCAATCTATTGCTTTACTATTGATCGCGTAATACTGTGTTATATTATATGAGATGTTAGTCTAACTCAACCTCTTTATCCAATAAATGTCATAAATGTTTAACATCTCATACGTGATCACTGCTATAATAATAACAACTATACAAACCATACGACACCTCCACTAACGTAAATCTCATACTAAAATCATTGGACTATATATACATTATTGCAATGCTTTCACTTTAATGCTATTTGCATAACATTAATGAACTAAATTGCACTTTATTTTTACATTATATAAATAGTATATATTATACAATAATTTCTAGAAATATTCAGTACATAACTTGTTTTCATTCAAATCAATGACTGTTACAACAAAAAATTAAATTATTTATTCTTTAAGTGCACACAAATTAGCTTAAAAGCTATTTTCATCAAATAAATCATATTTAAATAGTTTTCATTCCAATAAAATCAAATCTACAAATTTGGCCAAAATTACTATAATTTAATATTATATAATTTATTAGTAGTTTTCATAATAATTAGATTCATATAAATGCAATCAATCATATAGTCTATTATTTTTAATATATAACATCACATTTACTAATACTATCATATAATATTATATAAATCTGATATTCATTATTTATTTATCAACTCAATCAGATAATTGAAAAAATTTTAATTTAATGATTTGTTGATAAAATTTTGGTTTTTGAAATTTAATAAAAACTTATATCAAAATTTTAAGATATTTATTAAACTTAAAGTTTATGTATTTCTTAATTTATTTAATTAATAAAAATAAAAACAAACTAAAACATAATAAATTAATACTTATAATGTTTTTAAATTAATTATTATAAACTTAATTTTACATTTTAATTTCATTGCAGTATTATAAAAGATTTAGTTATTGCCTAATAATTTTAATAATTATTAAGCTTTAATTGATACAATTAATTTAATTTAATTATTAGAATACATAATAATTAGATAATATTATAAAGTAAAAAGTATTAAATTTATTTTCTATAATAATTATCTATAATTATATATTATTTAAATTATATATTTAAAATATAATTATTTAAGTTATAATTTGACACTATAATTTGAAAATTTAACATTATTTTAATATATAATATTTGTAAAAAAGTAATAAATATGAAAATTAGTATTAAATTAATCAGTAAAACTAATAATAATTTAATATTTTTTTTTATATCTTATTCATTACAATAAAATATATTTAGATTAATGTTAAAAAAGTTATGACAAAAAATATTTATTAAATGATTTATAAAACATAACATTTGACATATTATATAAAGTATTTTAAACTATTGTTGCAAACAATGACATATAAAATAAAGATTGCTCTCAATATTCGCATCACTTGATTGTGACATTAGTGACAACAAACTCTCGATTATATCTATTTTATTGGCAATCTTTGGCTCAAATTGGAGAGACATTTGAAAGTCGATACTCTAACAGTATTGTCGATACCATCACTAATGGGCTCCCAGTGCCGCATCACTTATCCAAATGTGAATCATTCATCTCTTATTTGTCGACAAATGTTATACCAGTGAGTGAGTGAGTGAGTGAGTGAGTGAGTGAGTGAGTGAGTGAGAGAGAGAGAGAGAGAGAGAGAGAGAGAGAGATTTATATGATATCAAAAATTGTTGTATAATGTTTTTCAACATTTACAATATTACAAATATATTACATAATAATAAAATATGTGGTTTATTGAAAGTACAGTATTACTAAAAAAATATCAGATAAATATTGCATCGTTAGATCGTTATATTGTATATATTATATAATATAAGTAAAAAAATATATTTTATTTAAAAGTATATTAACAATTAATCTCTTGATAATTATTAAATGATATTAGAATTTAATTAAACACTATTAAGTGTATTAAGTTTAAGTTTTTTTTATATTTTATATATTAATTATTTATAGAATAGTCAACTCTATTATAAACATATTTATTAGAATAATATTAATATATAAAAATAAAATCAATATAATAAATATACTGTACCTGTATATTAACTTAAAGCATATAATGTATAATAAACGATTTATTAAATTTTTTATTACCTATTCGTTTTCAAATGTAGTATTTATTATTAAAATTAATTTAAGGGAAAAAACATATCATTTAATTCTGTTTAAAAACTTATTACAATATATCGTGTATAAAATACTGTAATATTCAATATAATATATATATATATATAATCATTTATTAATACAAACGTAATGTTGTCTAAAATAAGTTTTGACAAATACATTACATACTTTTGTTTTAAATAATTTATAAACTTATTATTATAGTATAATATTATAATTTTAATACAATAGTAATGAAATACTTATTAGTAATGATATATTGTATTTAATAATTATATTGCATTACACAACTTTTATAATATTACACTACACACACTTTAATTAATTAATAATTTATATAAATGTTTGTTTGTAAAAATATATTTTAACGATATTAAATTATTTTCATAATTTAAATATATTTACTATAATTATGCATTTATAGCCTTTTACGGTAATTTAAATAAATTACTATAATTTATAAATATTTAATTCTTAATGTTTATACCAAAAATTTTAAAATACTATAATCATAAACAATAACATTATTATTATTAAATTATTATTTTTAATAAATATTTAGAAATCTAAAATATTAGATAAAGAGCTATAGAAAGAAATAGAAAGAAAAAACAAAATGAAACTTATATTTACACAAATTTTAAGGTTTAGCACAATTTATTAAGTAATACAGTATTCATTAATTAAACTATTGTTAAATTATTATTATATATATACATATATATATATTATATATATATTTGTTATTTGCGATATATACAGTAAATTATAACTTATCAAATAATTTATTAGTGGTAATAACATTTGTCACGAAATTATGAATATTTAAAGATTTTTAAATACAATCATTTCGTAATAGGAATAGTATGACACTGTTATAATGCATTATAATATATAGAAAACATTTATTAAACATCGATATCTTATACTGTACTTAATGCTCATAAATTAGTTATTGTATAGCTTTATAATATACTAATATTAATACTTATTTACAGTATTAACATTCATAATAATTATATTTAATAATAATTTTAGACATTTCTTTATATATTTGTATAAATACTGTATATATTTTATATAAATTCAATACAAGATTTTAATATATATTATATATAATTATATACTGTACATGTATATCATATGTATAATTTCATTCTTTACAAATTATTAATATTTAATTTAATAACATATTATTACAGTATAAAATTATTTTATGACAATTTTTTTAAATCATAAAATTATAATATATAGTTATCCTAATTATACTTTTGATATTTAATAAAATAAAATATTTATATATATATATATATAGCACAAACATAGGAATTATTTTTTACCAAATATATTGTATATTTATTTATAACATCTAATTTTAATATTACATTATTTATTTCATATCACATCACATAGACTATGAAAATAGTGTAAAAGCAAGTTATTAAAAATAGATATTATTTTTAGAGATATATTATAGTTATAATAACTGTAGTATAATTTAAAAGTTATTGTCATTTAATAATAATGAAATAATGAGCTAATATGAAATAATTAATTGATATACAGTATGAAGTTATAGTTATGTAATTATATGTGCACTTTTATAAATAATCATTAAATATAATAAAAATGACCGCAACCTTACTAATATTGAAAATACTACCTCTACTACAGTATATGAACCAAATTAATTGCTATGTTTAATTATATTATATCTTATCATTAATTACATTTTAATGAATAATATAGATATATATATAAATAATGAGCGCAATTACTAATTAATCTTCAAATCATTATATTTCCATTAAATACATAACTAAGATATCAATTGGTAATAATTCACCAAATTTTGATTTCTTATAATTTATAATTATATAAAGTTTCAAAATATATAATTATATATCATTAATATGAAATTTTTATTGATAAAGTTCATAATATAACCTAGATTAATTAAATTTTAAAAACATAAGTGCAATATTATTACAATAAAATTAACAATATTTTATTTTTTCCTATAATTATGCAAATAATTATTAATAGACAAAAGTTTAGAAAAATGCATATTATTATTATTTATATTTTTAAAAACTAATCTTTAAAATATTTATAATGTTATACATTAACTTACCTAGTTAACAATGGTGTTAATTTAGAAAAATTGATATCAAAAAAATTTATTACAATATTTAAAAATTTATTGAAATTTTATTAGCAAAACATTTTTAGTGAACAGACATTAAATATTATAGTATTTTTTAAATAATGATTTTATAATTTATTAATTTGTAAAACAATTTTTAATTATTGCATTCGTGAAGCTCAGGTATATCAAGGCATAAATATATGGTCAGTGCTGTAATAATAAAGTGTTAACAGTGTATAGGGTTTAAGTTAAAGAGTTGATCCATAAATAGGTCGACAGGTATTTGAAGGGAAATATTTATATTAGTTATACATGTAGTGAATAAACAATATTTAGTATAATTACCAAAATATTCAATTAGTCTATTTGACAATTAAATTATTAGTTAGTTATGTGAAAATTTTCTAAATATATCATTAATTATAAACTATTTATACAATAAATAACACATATTTTTTAAAGTAAAGTAAATATGAAAATACAAATCTCAAGAAAATTATTTGCATTTAATATTGTATAAAAATTAATTTTTTAAATCTAATTATTTTGATAATTAGATTTTTAATAAATAGCAAAGTTTTAGTAATAAATTATATTTTGTGTGCAAACCTTTAGTTTATTAATGTTAAACAAGTGGTTATTATACAGTAGTTTTTGTTAACTTAAAATCACATCATTTGTGTAGAAGTAATGCCAAATCACATGGAGTTTTGAAACTTATATTTACTATTAATTAATATTAAATTCAATTTAAATCACAATTTAAAACATATTTCAATTGATTTCAAAAATAATTGACATCTTATTGAATGATGAGTTCAGACTTACAGACGAAGAAGAAGAAGAGGAAGCAGTTTCGTAGACAAAGACATAATGTAAGCATTTGTTTGATATTTGACTTGAATTTAGCAACAAATTTATAATGAATTTCTTTGACGAAGAAATCAAATGACAGCAAACGGGATGAGAAACGTGAAGAACGACAGAAATATGTGGATATTGTTAAGGATAATAAAGACTACGAAAAGTATTACAAAATGCAGAATATTGTGGCCGATGAAGAATGGGAAGCATTTATGGCGTGTCTTCGAGAACCACTTCCGTCAGCATTTCGTTTAACCTCATATTGCAAGAGTCAGACGATAGCACTGAGGAATATCATCGAAAGCAAAGACTTCAACGGAACAGCTGTTGGCGATAATAATAATGGTCTCGAATGTATAGAGTGGTATCCAAACCGATTTGCCTGGAATTGCAATATATCGAGAGTTGAAATTAGAAAGTCGGACACATTCAGGATATTACAGAACTTCTTAATATCAGAAACTGATTCAGTATTGAAATGAATGACTGATTAACTTTAAACGATTTACTTATCATAATTTCATTTTAAAGGGTTATATCAGTAGACAAGAAGCCGTATCTATGATTCCGGCACTTCTGATGGACTTAAAGCCCGGCTATCGAGTGCTCGACATGTGTGCGGCTCCGGGATCTAAAACGGCACAAATAATTGAAATGCTTCATTCAGATGATGGCGTGTCGGAAGGCGCTGTTGTGGCCAATGATGTGGATAACAAACGATGCTATATGTTAGTCCATCAATCAAAACGTTTGCACAGTTGTTCCACTTTGATTACAAACCACGACGCGGGAGGAATGCCTAACTTTTACGAACAAGTGGTTAGTTATGATATTTTATAATTTACTTGTAATTCAATTTTTTATATAATATTTTTCATGTACTAACAGAATGGACAGCGAGTTGTTATGAAGTTTGATCGCATCCTATGTGACGTCCCGTGCAGTGGTGACGGAACTATACGTAAGAACACTGATGTGTGGTTCAAATGGAATGCCGCCAATGGAAACAATTTTCACGGAATTCAGTACCGAATTGCCCGAAGAGGTCTCGAAATGTTACGTAAAGACGGAATTCTCGTTTATTCGACGTGTAGTTTGAATCCTATTGAAGACGAATCAGTTATTGCATCTCTTCTGAATGCATCCGAAGGAGGTGCACATCTTGTCGATGTCTCACAAGTTTTACCGAAACTGAAATATTCTAAAGGTTTAGACCACTGGAAAGTTATGACCAGAGAAGTGGTTTGCGTTGAATCTGTGGAAGAAGTCGAAGAGAAATATAAATCACAAATTAGGGAATCATTGTTTCCACCAAAAAATATAAAAGAATTAAATCTAAATCGATGTCTAAGAGTTTTACCTCATCTGCAAAATACTGGCGGATTCTTTGTTGCTGTCATTAGGAAAACTGTTGACACACTTCCATGGGAGTCGTCAACTGAAGAATCAGTTAAGACACCGGAAGATACAACGGCGGAAAGTAAAACCACGGCTAACACTGGAAACGATAGACCACGAAAAAAGAGAAGAGTGTATGGATTTAAAGAAGATCCATTCATTTTCATGGATAAGAATGATTGCGATTGGATTAAAATAAAGTATTGATTTGTTTATAATTACCATAATTGGTATTAAATGCCAGCATTGGTACTCTAATTAATGAATATATATATATATTATTTATTTAAATTTAGGGAATATTACGGAATAAAAGACACGTTTCCGTCGGAACAGTTGGTGTACAGGTGTGCTGTCGGTAAAAAGAAAAATATTTATTTTCTTACCAAAGCTGCTAAAGAAATAGTTGTTAATAATCAGCAAAATATAAAGGTTTTTATTAATATAATGAGTCGATTAAACCTAATATTAATTTATTCATAACTATTAATTAAAGTTAATCAATGGTGGCGTTCGGCTCTTTTCAAGAAGTGACGATAAAGTAAATCCTTGCGGTTTTCGTATCACACAAGAAGGTCTTCAATCTTTATATCCATATCTCAATAATGATGATGTCATTGAATTATCTACATCTGATGCGAAACAATTGTTATCCAATGATAATATGCCATTGGATCAGTTTACTGGATGTGATCCACAAAAACTAATAAAACTCAGCTCTGGTTGTTGTGTTCTTGTTATCAAAAAAGATGTCGAATCTAATGAAGACTTACCATTAATTTTGCCCATTTGTTGCTGGAAAGGCAAGACTTCATTGCGTGCTTATATTGCCAAAAATGAAAGGATCCACTATTTAAGACTTTGTGGCGCAGATGTCACCGAAACAGGTCCGAGATATTAAGCACTAGTTTTATTATTATTATTAATATATTATAATTTTTATTATCGATTACAGAAGTGCGAAGAGGCAATGAACGAGAGAAACATAAAGTCGCGAATTACTTGAATAACAAGAAATTAGATGATAAACAAACAGAAGATATCATTGACAATCCAATTGTCACAATTGAAAGTGATTTATAAAATATAAACTTTGAATTTAATAATGGATTTTTTGGTTTCATATAATTTATATTTTTTAAGTTTTATTTTTTTGACAAATGAACCAAACATTGATATCATTGAATAAATGACACGAAAAATGATTATAATAAATGTTAATAACGTTTGCGCTTAAGAAGGTCTGGTTTCCAATTGATTGGATGTGATTCTTCATCTGCTGTTTCGTCCTCTTTATATATCTTAATGGTTTTGTCCGCTTCACCCGTAATTAGTCTGGAACTGCTCTGATCGTAAGTCATGGTAAAGATACCATTTTCCGACTCTATAGATCCGGGTTGTGCTGATGATTGGGTTCGTTGAAAGTTGTAACCAGTTCTCCAGTCCCAAAAAAACATGGAACCATTGTCTGCTCCAGAAACCAGTACTCCATCCGTATTCATGGCGAGACAGTTGACTATAGCATTATGACCACTCAAGTTCTGAATAAACTTTCCGTCGGGAAACCCCCACTGTTTGATGTTTGCGAAAGAGCCCGAAGCGAATGCATTCAGTTTCGGATGAATAATAAGAGAGCGGACACTCTTCTTATGATGCGTTAATGTTGTTCGGGTTTTACCCGCAATAATATCCCACAAACGGATAGTTGTATCGTGTGATCCCGTAATAACCTGTGGATCGGTAGCCTGACATACAACCGAAGCAATAGTATTTGAGTGACCGGACAACGAATGAATTTGAGCTTTAGATCTTATATCCCAAACTCTTGCCACAGAGTCTCGACCGGCGGACACCAATATATCGATAGTTGGATGTAATGCCAAACTGTAAACTCCCGAGAGATGTCCATGATAGTGACGAACCACTTTGTTGTATTCTAAGTCCCAACACTTAACCTGTTTGTCTTCACCGCATGAAAATAGATACGGTTGTCGAGCACTGACTGCCAGACCTCTAACACCTGATATATGTCCTGTCAGTGATAGCTTTAACTTTCCAGAAGCCAAATCCCAAATTTTAATGATCCTATCATTAGAACCGCTGGCAAACCATTCATTTCCCGGTTCAACTGCCAAACAGCGAACCCAACCGATATGACCGGACAAAACTCTATATAACTTCCACGGCGGATGCCATTCAGGTTTAGGCATTGGCGGTGGCTTTCTATGAACTATTTGTGTGCCCGAAGATAATAGCATTACTTGTTGGTTATTGGATGAATTGGTGCCAACATTTGGCATCGATTTCGTCGGTTCGGAGTAAAGAACTAATGAATTGCTCTTATTATTACCAGACGTATCGTCGATATTACYCTTCATTTCTTCATCTCTTTGATTGTCTTTCATTTTAGACTTCAACGATTCGTTTGCGTCATCTTTGGGAACCAAATGAAGAACAGGTTTGTATTGGTCTCTGGCCTTAAGAGTCATTTGAATTTCATGAGCTTTTTGGTCAATCGGCGGTAATTCGTTGTGGTCACTGATGAACATGTCGTGTGTCCTCTTCATTGACCGAAATACCAACGTATGGACCGATTGTTTGTGGACAGTCGTCAGAGAATCAATAGTGACCGGCGGTTGACTTTCATGACTGTGTTGTCGTCCCGGTGTTTGGGGGAGTCGTGTAGGCGTCGAGTCCAGTGTTGTGGCCATCACTTTACGGGCAACTCATTTGGTGATCACTTAACTGAATGTTTGAAAAGTGTTTCCGAAAATGTGTTTCAAATGTCAACAAAACGTTTTCCAAACAATTAGTCTTTCAATGCAYTGACTGTTTGTCCGACAGATGTCTCGACAAACAGACAACGGATGGCATACGAGATATGAACGCAAAGCCGGTGTTTAAGTGAAAAGGCGTGCAAACAGTCTATCAATTGGTCACTACTTTTAGACCATCGGACACAACACGCGTCACGTGTGAACACACTTTGACCACATCTGCAGTTATTTAACACACGTTTATGTATTACACATGAAGTCATTCACTCTTTGCTATTGTTTGTGTGATTTAACCAATTATTACGGTATTACTTGAGTCCAATCCATTGACCCGAACCGCTCGCTTCACTCGTTTTTGTGGCCAATCTATGGATATGAAGATAATTATAGATTAAGATATTCAATCAAAAGGGACAACTAATGTCAATGGATGTGTTGATGTCGTCGGTGGCAAACGATAGACCAAATGAAGAGATTACCGAATTCTTGAAACCTTTGAGACCTATCTCGCGGCCGGTGATGAAGGATAAAGACAAACGAGATAATCGTCGATTAATTTTCGATAAAATTCGTGATTTATGCCGAACTCCGACACAGTTTTTGAAGCCTATCGACAATCAATCGTTTTTGTGTCACATATTTACCGATATCAGACAATTGTGTGAACGGCCACAACTTATAACACCAATTGAAGATCAATTGGTTGTCCAACAGATCAATGATGAAGAAGTAGTGGATGAGGTAAAGGTTTTTAAAAAACGGATTAAACAATATTATTGTGACACTAATAGTGACACTAATTTGCTATCATTTGATATAATTAATAAATCAAAAGTGTTTTGTACTTTAATTAAACCCAAATCCATCAAAATTGTTAATAATACCAATGATGTGGTAACTGAATCACTGAGTGATAAAAGAAAAGCGACGATTAAGAGGAAGACATCAAATGATAGGACGACTTGCAATAAAAGAGTTGCGCGAAAACCATTGAAACCGATATTAAGTATCGATTGTGATATTACTTCAAAGATTAATGAATACTCGAAATTGTATTCAAAACCAAATCCAAAGAAGACGTCTTGCGATAAGACAAAAACAAAGAGTGTTGTGACAAACAATGAGTCCATTATCATTGTCGACACTACCTATGAATCTGTGTCGAGTCCATCAGTTAGTTATCAATCATCTCTTCCCTATTCAATGCCGGCCACACCTGTCAGCACAACTGAGAGTTCAGTAAGCAGTCAATCATCACTTCATTCAGACATTTCATCCACATCTTCATTATTATCGCAAATCCGTAAACAATTGAATCCTCGATTCGAGTCGTATCGACAATACGCTGACAAATGTAACCAAAAGAAAACAACGACAAAGAAGTGCTACAATAAAAAGGTTACAAAACGTGAAATTGATTTCAATAAGAAAGTACTCGAATGGAAGGCCAACCGACTCGGTTCGGGTAATACAACACCGCTTCATAATATCGAATTCTTAGAGACACCTCCTGGAAGTCCTCTAAAAAAGCAATCAACTATTGAAGACAAAGACACAAATGTCGATGAATTGAATCAATTTATCGATAATTTAGAAAATGAAGATTTCATGCAATTAGACGACAATTTAAAGAATGAATTCAATTCCCTTCTTTCGGATTTATATTCAGACATTGTTCCCGAAGATTCATCGCTTGTAACTTAATTCACATATTTATCATTTTGTTTGTACAGTAGATATCATATATTAAAACTTATTTTGTTTATTATGTGTTTAACCGATAATAATAATGATATACCGTATTCCCCGGTAATTCAGATATAAGACTTCTCTATTAGATATTTCGCTTATCTATAATATATTCATATTAACAAAACACTGCAATCTCTTAACCCTATAATAAATTTTATTTAATATCTAATTTATATGCAAAACGATAGACATTTACCGTACTTATGATAAAATATAAATATTTCTATAACCGGATAATTGACAAATAACTTCAATAGATTATTAATCAATGATATGTTTTCTTTATATTTATATTCTATATTTATTTACAAACTATCCTTATATTAATAATATACTGCAAGTATTCCTTTAAAAATGTAAGATATTTTGTTTACAAAACTTGCGAATAAATTACAGGGAAAACGGTATATTTAATACAATATATTACCGTAATGTAAATATTAAGATAGATTACTGTAAATAGCATTTTGTATAAAAACTAATATATTAAAAGCAAACAATCATTTAATGTAAATATTTGTCATTTAAGAGAATCTTATATTAATTTAAATAAATGATAGAAAATTGACTATTTTTTATTTAAAATGTTTAMCTAATTAATGATAACAAATGGCTATAAACGTACTGTAATTAACAAACTCACAGATAAGTCAAACCGTTATTTTATTTCCAAGTCTTCTTTTTTAACATTTTTGCGCTCATCTTCTGGTAAACTCAATGGATATGCAATTCTATAGGTCGGGTGTTCGTTAGGAGGTTTCACCCAAAATGTATCTCTCAGTGGTTTAGGTCTTCTATGACCATCCGGATAGGGTAAAGGTTGGTTAACTGGTGCAGATGTTGGATGAATTCGTGGATGTTTAGGCTGATCCAGGTCTGCATTGTTGTCGAAAGGCTCTATTGCAGAATGAGGTCTGAGTCCACGATAGATACCAATTCTTGAACGCCTTTTCCTTATGGGTGCCTTAAGCCAATCAGGTGTACCAATTGGTATGGGATGAATATGTGGAAGTACTGGTTCTTTAAAAGTATCCTTATAGTCATAAGGATTGACTGACTTTAACCGTTCTAATAAAACATCTTTGGCTAAATCCTTTGGATCTCTGAATTGATCCAAATAACTATTTTTATAATAATTTAAAAAAACAAATTAAAGTACTGTTTAAAAAATCAATTATATTTGACATTACATATTGAACGGAGCTCTGGCAGGAAATTGTAATTGTTTGTAAAATTTATCCTTTGGTGGTATCCATTGATAATAAGGTGATCGCATGTCTGCAGAATAATATAAACAATTACCGTATTATTTAAAACAGCATTTTAGAAGACATACCTAAATAATCATAAAATATCTTTTGTGAACTATAGTCCCAAATAGTTTGAAACCATGAAAGACCTACAGGTGTGAGTTGGTTATCATCGCCATGAGCTGACATAAACTCCAAAGCATTGAAAGACCTCTTTTTAAGATCAAAATCATCGATAGATTGTTGTTTCAATGGACTCTTATGTTTATATAACAAAAACACATATCTATGATACCCTAAGCCTTTGACTCCAAAAACAGGCAAATATTTAATGACTGTCTCATAACTGGTAACTCCTTTAGTATTATGAATATTGGTTGTCATCCAATGGCAAACATTGGATTCATTACCGAGTAATGAATCCAAACTAATTAGACATAACGTGTAATAATTATTTATATCATTTAAAAGCCTTATCTGACCATTTGATTCATTCAATTCATTATAATTATCGTTACTTTTATCAAAATTATTGATCCCATTAATAGCCGAAGCGTCGATTGAAACGTTTGGACAKTTTTGACATTTTTGTGGATACAATAGATTTCCGCGAAATACTGGCGAAACAATTATGTCATCCGATTTGTTTTCAGAAGAAGTTTCTTTAGTACTATTTTCTGTCAAAATATCTTCTTCTCCGACTTCGGACTCAAGAACACAGAATTCGGCTTTCAATGGAACTAATGGTCGAAAATAATATGTAGGCTTTGGAGGGATKGACTCTATAGATGAAACACTCTGTATCTGATGTGAGGGTGGAAACAGATCTTTAAAGATTGCGTAATGATTGGCCAAATCAATGATACTTTGGACGCCTTCGTCACTCAAAAGCCATTTCTCGTAAATCCGTCTGTAATTCAATGCCTGTATGTCTTCGTCTTCATCAAAGTCTTCGAAGTCAACTCTCGTAAGAGTTTTACTTTCAAAATCTTTCTTTACTTGTGACCACTTTTGTGTGACATCCGAGTCATTTGCGAACCCGATGTCAAACAAATTGATAGCATTTTCGTAATAATTAATTTCATTGAGTTTTTGTTCAATTGTTTGATAATAATCGGGCGGTTTGTCCACCACTTGCGGCAACAKAAAGCGTCCAAATCGTTTAAACTCTTTGGTGAGACATTTGTGGCCACAAAGTGTGCGACCACTGCTTCGGACGACTGACAGCATAGCCGACGGTCACTGATTCACACCACGAGTTCAATGGATTTAATTTATATTTAAAATAATTATTATTTTTATTAAACACTTTGTGAACATCAATGACAACACTTTTATTACATTTATTTTATTGAATTTAATTCACTAAAAGAAATGTTTTAAACATTAATTTCATATAAAAATGTAGTAAATTATGTGTCAATTGAATACAATTAATAATATAATCATTTAATTAATTAAAAATAATTAAATGACTAAAAATTCAATTGAATTCAATTGAAAATCTAAATCAAACTTCAAATGCAATGTCTATTAATAGTTGTCGTAATTGATGTCCAAACCATCGATGACTGCATTGTCGACACAACAGTGCAAACACTCTCTTCCTGTTTGACGACATTAACATCGCTATGAGGTATGGTTTGTGTCCACTTATTTTACCCGATTTGACCACTTTTTACCGATTATATCAATACTAATTTGTCGATAATAAGTGTCTGAAAGTGTTTTGCGCCGATTGTTATGACTCGTTGGTCACAATCGGTGTCCAATTAGTTGTAATATGATTTGCGGCGAAAAATCACGTTTTCTTTGCGTTTTTTTGTATTGCTATTAGTGTTAAACCATTGATTGAATAAATGCATTGAAATAATGCTATTTTATCGACACATTAATTGACAAATTGTTTTGATTTGATTTTTATGAATTAATAAATATAACGAAGAGATTAATTGATGTTTTGTTTTAATTGTTTGATTCAGTACTTTGCGACTTCAGAAACGTTTAGCTTCGGCTGTACTGAAGTGCGGTCGCAATAAAGTCTGGTTGGATCCCAATGAGGGCAATGAGATCGCAAATGCCAACTCAAGACAACACATCCGCAAATTAATTAAAGACGGTCTTATCATTCGTAAACCAGTGGCCGTCCACTCACGAGCTCGTGTGCGCCGCAACACCGAGGCTAGACGTAAGGGCCGACACACGGGTCCCGGTAAGAGAAAGGGTACAGCAAATGCCCGAATGCCGGTCAAAGTGTTGTGGGTTAGGCGTATGCGTGTCTTAAGACGTCTTCTCAAGAAGTATAGAGAAAACAAGAAAATTGATAGACATCTGTATCACGACCTCTACCTTAAAGCTAAGGGTAATGTCTTCAAGAATAAGAGAGTTCTCATGGAATTCATCCATAAGAAGAAATCGGAGAAACAGAGAACCAAACAATTGAGGTTTGATTTGTTTTACTATTAATTGAATTCATTTATTAATATAATTACGTTTTTACAGCGATTTGGCTGAAGCTCGAAGACAAAAGGTTAAGGAAGCGCGCAGAAGAAGAGARGAAAGACAACAACAGAAAAGAACTGAAATGTTGATCACCTATCAGAAGGAAGAAGAGGCGCTTAAGAAGTAAATTGTGTATCATTTTTGAAAAAGAAATCAAATAAATTGTCTTTTGATTAATAATATACTCTTTTTTTATTAAAATAAATATCTAATAAAATGATAATTAATTAATAGCAACAATATATAAGTATTATTCTGTATAAACAGGTATCGAAACTAAAAACATTTTTTAAATAAGTATATAATAAGGTTATCTTAAATTTACATATAAAACATGTTAATGACTATCCATTGTTCAAAGTTTTGTGTCTCAGATTAGATCCAATTAGACTGAGAATGACAGGCAAAAAGATTAGTCCGTGAAGTGCACCGATTAATACAATTCCCAAATACATTCTAAAGTAGAATATCTGGAATATCTTGGAGGAGGCGAAACCCAATACAATGATTCCCCAAAACTTTGTTAATGTAATTCCCGACAGAACTGAACTACCCATCTGTGCCAATGATTCTTCTACTCTTTGGACACGAGTGACAGCATTACTCATAGCGTATCCACGAGTAATATGTGAGCAAAATTCAACTGATATGCCGACAGCCTTAACAATTAGATTTAATTAATTAGTAATGTATTAGTAATTGAATCATATATGCCTTACAGTAACCAAATTGACTAACGATACGGCATTAAGTGATATATTCCACCAAAACATCATTCCCATTAAGTTTATAATAATGGCTGTAATGGTTGCAATCACTATAAGTGCTGATATCACATCAAATCCCAAAAATATCAAAGTGACCACAAATATGGCCGACAATGTTATCACTAGATTTTTAATAGTGTCCATCCAAATGGTCAGATATTGTTCGTAAAATACATAGAATATACTGTAAGGAAAAACCTCGACATATGTATCGGTGATATTATTGTCAGAATTTATTGAGTTTGTCAAACTCTGGGCCAAAATTCTGGCATTTTTCAGGGCATATATGAAATCATGGGATGTTCTCATCACTGTATGATATGAACTGAAGGATGAGGCTATAAAATGATAAAAATATTGATTGAAATTATACAGTATATCAATATTTATCTACTGAATAACAAACCTCTAATTCCTAATATTTCTGTGTCATTATTATTATATTCAAGATTGACGGCTGAATGGTAAGCGGGTCCACCACTAATCAAACAAATAATTTATAATTATAATAATAATGAAACTTATAATTACCGGTAATTGTATAATATAAGTAAACTTACCCTTTAGGACACATAGAGTTAGGAATGTCGTTAAGAAAATCATTAATATAATGTTTATAAAAATCTTCGGCTTTTATCTCATTATCAGTAATGATAGCACATGGTTTGCAATCAGGATCTATGACAAACAATTAGTTTCAATTAAATATATTACCTATAATTCAATTTACCAATAGTTGAAAATATTAAATACTTACCACTAGTAATTGTTGAGTTACAAAATGTGTCATTTGAGCGGACACGACAACATTGGCCATTACCCGACCAACTTATGTAATCGTCAATCCAACTGTTGGTCGGACTGGCAATAAATGTTTCGTTGGGTTGTTTTGAGGCTTCATTTATGATAGCTGTCAGTGAGTTAGCCGAACAGCCGGCAATATTACAGACAAGTTGTTGTCTTCGAGGATAATCAAAACCGGACTTAACTACAAAATAGACCGGAGGGCCCACTCTTAGCGAATTAGTTTGTGCCTTAAAATAAGACAATACATAGGAATCGGATGGCATCGATAAGTCTTGATTTAGACCTATTTCTAATTTATTGAGTACAGCAATAGATGTGCACAACCAGCCCAGGAATAAAATTACCTCAATTTATGGAAATATATATATAAATATTTGGTAATTAATTATTGATAAAACAGTTGAACATAACTTACGACTGGAAGTCTAACGTAGTCTTTCATAAGAAATGGTGAGTATATATCTTCAAAAAATCTGAAAAGTAGTCCTCTTTGGTCAGTCGTGTTCTGAGAATTACGATCTTTTTTATACTTAAGACAACACAATAGTTCATATCTATTCTCTAACTGTCTATAAGTGTCTAATACAAGTAATGGTACAAAAACTATCATTTGTAATATAAATGCCATCAGCAAAGCTAAGCCGGCATTCAATGCAAACACTTTAACCGCTGGCATTGAGGTGAGACCACCCAAGAAAAAACATGAAGACTCGGCTATAGTGGCCAACAGAATAGACGGCGCAACACTTTCCATAACACATCCAAACCTCTCTTGTATTGGAAAGTCATCTGCGAATTGTTGTCGTTGAAAATTTTGAACCAATATAAAGATATTGTCGACACCAACAGCCAAAACCAAAAACGGTATGACTTCGACAATAATTAAAGTTGATTTAATGCCAGCAAAACTTAATATACCAATCGATGCGGTCACTGATAACAATACTATCGCCACTCCACTCAAACCCAATATCATTTTCGAGTCAATCTTTAATAATTAAATTATAGTTAACTTATTAAATCATAAATAACTAAATGAGAAATAAAAACTTACAAAAAGTCTTCTAAATGATGTAAACCGACCCAAAGATATTGATATATATATAAACATAACGATATAACTGATGGCAATCGTTACAAGACTTGATTTGCTTTGTCTATCAATTTCATCTTCTATTGACCGCTAAAAATAATATTTAAAAAAAACGGTAAGTTTATCATATTTTAACGGTACATAATTATTGTAATTCACATAAAATAGATTTTAATTAAATAAATTGTCTAAAATATATATTAATTTTTAACTAAAAGAGAACACATAATAATATGCTAAAAGTTTGGTCATTACAACAAATAAAAAGTTAGACTATCGAGCTATCGGAGCAAATATTATACTGAAAATTAAAACTCTAGTTTTCAATACCTCAGAATAGTAGCTAATTTTCAAATTAGAATTTTTGTATTTTTTCATCAAATTTAAGTATTTCTGTTCCCATAAAAGTGCTCTTAGATTATCACTTTTGTTAACATTATTGTTGAGCATAATTGTAATGACCACCGATTTGGCGCCGATATAATTATTTCTATCAAAATCGCCGAATACAACATTGGGTAGCATTGGTCCGCCGTAACTGCCGGCACACGAAATATTAAATTTGTCGTCATTTTGTGAATATGGGTTATCCAAACAGTAGATAAAATGATCAAGGTAATTGTTATTATTTAACGTTTTGTTCAATTGAGACGCATTACTTTGAAAGTAACCCAATGGTGTCTGAACGGCACACTTATTGTTTTTCATTGGAGCGAAACAAAGATCTTCCAAATGGACATCCATTCCATCCAATGATACCTTAATATTAGTAATATTTTTCTGTAGATCGAGAACTTGTAATAGAAATTCTTTATCAAATGCCGGACCAAATGTATGAATGATAGATGTGTTGTAAGGATCGATATGAATAATAGGCGTATCATTTTTGGGATAAATTATCAATTGTTGGATTCGATAGAAAGGATTAAAATTTTGATCGTAAAAATTCTTCTCTAATCGGGCTCTACTATCGGGTGCCGACCATAGGTTAACCGGATCTGTCATCGCCGAGAAATGAGTCACTACACCCACTGATAAACCAACAGACAATGCAATGCCAATAACAGGAAGAATATAAACATAAGGTTTTTGTGAACAAAATAGTCCATAATTTTTGAAACATTTTCGTATAAATCCATCAAACTTTAGGCCATAATTTAATAAACTTTGAGATAATCTTTTGCAAAGAGAAGAATTAGTATCATTTATGTCATCAGTTCTAATATCGTCTTCACTGACGACCGGCACTAATAGGACTCGACCTTAAAAAATGAAAATAATTGTTAACTTATAGTATAACTAAACATATATTTAAAGAGACTGACCTGAGTTTCTCTTAAAATAATAAAAAGTAAAAATTCCGATAATAACTGCGGCTAATATATAATAGATGACACCCATACAGAACCACATACCATCCATTCCCCATACAATCCACGGCTCCTCTGGTTTAGGATATGGTTTAGGTTTACATTTTATGGGACAATCAGTACAACTGCACGATTGATTCATATAAGATATGGGTGGGTCAGCACAAGACACTGTTGGCGCGTCCATTGATGACATGCCAACCGAATTAGATTTCAAATCGAAATTTATCTGAAACGGAGAATTAGAAATGCCGTGCGAGTCGTGTTTGCCCATCGTTTTCAATAATAAAGTGGGTGTGCAGTGATCGCCATAAGGCATACACATCAATGTCATAATGGATCCACCGGTTAGTGGCGACTGAACGTTTGCGCACGAATTATAAAAGGCAGTCGCGTATCGGTCGGTCATATAATAGGTTATTTCAGCGACCATTTCCTTTTTAGGATCTGTCTCTGCTTTTTCAGTTTTGGTCACTTTTATAAAATCTGATTGATTCGGACTACACGTCATGTATAGGAAAGTTCGGATGAAATTGTAAGTACAAGACGGACAACGACTCGTCAATCCTTTCGGAAGTGCCATTTGTTTAAACAATTTGGACACCTGTTCATCGTTACAACAAAACTTTGGATCCAATTGACCTAAAATCATATAAAAGTCAAATTCACTTCAAAAGTGTTATCGTATTGACAAACCTTTGAATAGTTCCGGAAGAAATGGTTTCATCGCATCCATTGATGTCGTGTTCAATGTCATCGGTTTTATGTTGACCGCACACGGGATCGGCGATTCTTCAACAATACAGTTGTGACAATCACCGCAATAGCCATTAAATACACAACTGCTGTCCACTATATGACACTGCAGTGTCGGATCAAATCATATCATTAGTTGTTAAGACAATTAATTTTGTTTTTAATTCATACAAACCTTAATTAATATCACAATAAATAACACAAAACTTTGAATCAATATTTTAGACATCATTTCAAATCATTTGAGATTTCAAACAGTTTTTTAAACAAACAGTTATTATAATGAGTTTCAAACTAATTATAACAAATCGAGTCAACTGTTTGGTGACACTCGAGTCATAGCAATGAATGTGAATAACAATCGAGTGATTCAATTACAGTATGTATTGATTTTAAACAATATATGAAATCATTTCATTGATTCAATGAATGTCAATGTAATGCCAGTAATAATAATAATAATAATAATAATAATAATAATACAGTAATAATCATAACATTTATAATATCGTAGTTTTTCTCAAATCATTTGATAAAAATAATAATAATTTGTTTATCATTTCATTCAATGTTTTTATTTCCCATTTACTAAAACACATAATATGTTACACTATTTAAATTGATATTTTCGAACCCAATTGTAATTGTATTTTAAATTATTGATAAGCGCTATAATAATAACCAATAAATAGTAACATAATTTGTGTATAGCTCTAGATATTCGTACCCAATAACTCGTTACCTTTTTAATAGTAATTATTATTATTTGATTAATAATTTGATAATATATTATCATTTAATTATAAAATGACAAAATTTAATAATTAATTATATATATAACACTTCAATAATATCATATGTATAGTACATATAGTCAACAATAATTGCATTTATAAGTTATGCTTAGTAACTAAAATCAGGTAAAAAACATTAATATAATACTTGAAAGTTATAATCAAAATATAATAAAAACACTTAAAACAGGATTTGATTGTAAATTTCAAAACCAAAACAAAACATTTAATTTAATTAAAGTGTTAATGCATTTCATTTGTTTACAAATATATCAAACAATTTTTGAATTAATATTTTTTTGAATCAAATAAATAATTAGTTTATCATTAATTCAATTCATTTGTGTCGACAATGAGTGCCGTAATCGATAAAGAAGTGGTCAAAACTGTTGATGAAACTAATGTTAGCAATGAATCCCATGTTTTTTGTAATACAAAATCAATATAATTGTCATTTATTTGTCTTTTTGTTGTTAAAGATATCTCAAGAAATGAGACGAAATATGAGTTACAATGCGATCATAACTCCCGGCGAGGCCTCGGAATCGGATGAAGACGAGGAACAAAATGAAGACGAAGACCGTATTGTCTCTTTTGCCGATCAAATAACCACAAGAAGTCGGAAGATCTCCGAAATGAGTAATAATTTGTCATTTTATTGAAAAATTAAATTAATTTTAATCTTTTGATGGTATCCTTAGGTCAGTCTCAAAGATCTCGTTTTTCAGACGACAGTTCATCCATTGGAGACACAACTAAATACAATACGTAAGCTATTTGTGGACATAAAATATATTAACAAAAAAGTTAATTAATTCAATGATTTTATTTTTTTAAAGATTATTACACAAAAAACTAAGTATGTCTTACATTTGATTAAACTTTGGTCCAAATTTTATATTTATAACTAAATGGTAATTATAATTGAATTTTAAATAAATTTAATGATAATTATAGGAGAGAAAAACGAACAGCTCAAGAGAGAGCTGACATCCCTGGCCTGCGGACCATTTAATATGGCGACCAAAGAAGTCGGATCTATATCTAAACAATTAATACAATCTCAGAAATTAGTCCAAAACGTGTCGTCTTCTCTGAGAAAAGTATCAAAAGAGTTGATACATTTAGAGGATACCATCGCTGCCATCAAGAATGATAAGAACTTTTTACTCAAAGAATTTATTATTACCGGTAATTCAAGTGTTGATGAATCCAAAGAAAGTGAATCCAATGATACAATGGTTACAAATGTTTCATAACAGAGATTCATTTGTTTTCATATTTTGAGATTTATTATAAATTTTAATGACAATCAATTATATGCAGCAATAAATGTTATTTCTAACACTATTTATTATTTTGAGACATTTTGTAATTTGAGATTAATTTGAGATTTGCTCCTAACTAGTCTGTCTAAATATGATATAAGTTATAACATATGCCGTAATATATTTTTATTTTAATTGTATATAAATTGTTTGAATAAAAATTATTTTTACTTTTAAAAAATAACTTATAAAAATTAAGACCAAAAGATGATTTATTTGGCAAAACTGATGTCACCCATCAATAAAATTATGGATTTAACAAATTTTACCAATGATTTTGATGACAACTTATTCAGATCTTTCAAATATAATCCAATAACGTTTGCATTTTGAACTAAAACTGAATTATTACTGAAGTCATTGACATCAATCAAATGCAATATATTTTTGTTCAATGAATTCAAATATTCTTTGAATTTTAATAATTCTTGGTTTGGTTTCGAAGTATTTATAATAACAGAATTTCCTGAAACCAATGCCTTTAATATTAAACGTAATATTTTTTCATTTAAATCATCGATTTTGAACACAATTAAACCAATTGCCTCAAAACGAGTAAATTTTAATTGAATCCCATTTTTATCTTTAAGTTCAGTTATTTTGTGATTGTATGCCTCCGGAACCGACTCGTTGTCAAATAATGTGTTCTTCGATATCAAGAAATTCTTAATTACCACTTCTCGTTCTTCATTTGGCAGTGATTTCCAACTATAAAATTTATATATTATTTTAATTATTATTTTCATTTATATTTGAATATAACTTACGCGTTGTTTGCAGCAATTATAGAGTCGATGAACTTCTTTTCAGTCATAATTGAATTGATATCTATTTTATCTAAAACTTTATTCAAAACTGAGATTTCTGTATTAAAAGGGTATTTGAGAGAACCATTAATATAGATGTGAGAAGAAGATTGAATAAGAGTTGCAAATTCAAGAGCTAATGATGTCTTTTCGGACCAAAACGATATAAATGGTATATCTATAAAGTGATTCATCAAACTTTTCAATTCTTCATTAGATCTGAACTTAAATAACTGAATATCGAAATTCTTGTTTTCGTTGTCGAAATCAATTGCCTCATAATTGACAGTAATTGGAGCCAAAGTATCGACATTAGGATCAAATCGTTGACCAATTGTTACAGTATTTGAAAGACGTGTTTTCATTAAAATTGAAAACTTTTTGTAAATGGATTGTTGAACGAAAACATTTAGTGAGTTATTAGTGTCGTTAATACAAGAAGTAATAATCCTATCGATTCCACATTCAATATCAGCCGATTCAAAGATGACAACTATAGGTGCTGTCAATGGTTTTGTTTTATTATCAAGTCTTTTAACATTAATGTCATCAATAATAACCAATTGAACGATTGTTGGCTCTAAACCCACATTTTCAATGATATCCAATAAATAGGCAGCACTTATGGCTGTCTTATTTGTGGCAATCAATATAACTGGAATACCATTAATAAGACACGGAATCAACTCATGAATTAGTTTTAAAATGAAAGACTGAGATTCAAACATTTCAATCACTGTATAGTTAAGAGATTTCAACTGAAGATCACTCAAATGGTTTGAGATCTGATTATTAATGCTATAGTCAAGAGTTGTCAGTAAATTTTGGACCCGATTTCGACTAACTTTTAGTGTACTTTTAGTACAAATCATATCTAATAATTCCAATACTTTTGTTGATTGTTTCAACTGATCTGATAATTTGCTTAGTTTTTCATTCCTCAACTTTATATCGTTAAACCATTTTAAGACATTTGTCTTATTTTGAGACTCAATCTCATCAAATTTGTTGCAAATGACTGATTCAATGATGTTTTTCTTTGAATAATAAACTCTAATATCTTTGGATGTCTTAAATACTTCATTATCAGAAATGACAATTGAATCATTTGAATCATTATTTGATGTTTTATTGATTTTGTCAGTGATTTCAAAGTTTTTACCAGAAATCCATTTCTATAAACAAAATAAAATATGTGTTTAATTTTACCGATATTTTAATCTTATCATTATTACAGTTATATATTTTTATTTAACTAATATCAATAAATATTATTCGATGAGAATAAACTTGTAAAATATTTAAATGATTAAAAAAGACCTTGGTAACAATAATTTTTCTATATTTCTGAAAAAATTACCCATTATACTTATAAATTTATTAGGCGCTATGCAATTGATTATTAAAATATGAAAAAATATTTAATATAAACTTGATAATATTCAATAAAATATTTACTAAAAACTAGCAAAATATTTATTTATAACTTAGAAAAACATCGATTTTCTGTGGAAATCTTAAAAATATTATAAATTTATAGTTTATTTTGTATAGCATTTAAAGTACAATAAATCATCTTGGTAATATTTCAAATCAATATTATCAAAAATAAGTTGTTCATTGTTTAAAATAAGTATAAAATATTCATCGGCTTAAATAATTTTGAAATTAGTTATCGGATTGATTTATAAAAATATTTTTTTTTGCAAATAACATATTTTTTATATTAAATTATTTTTATTGTTAGAATAATACTGTTTTGATAAAATACTATACAGTAGTCTAACTGTATAACATATTTTAATTAGAGTGTCTTAAACAGTGGCGGCGGCGATGATATTAATTACAATTATCTGGTCAACAATAAATTTGATTTGAAAGTGACCAAGGGCAATGTTGTAGATAATTTTAAACTGAATAAAATTGTAATTGGTCATTTTTAAATCAAATTTATTGTTGACCAAATAATTGTAATTAATAGCATCGCCGCTGTTTAAGACTCTCTGCATATATTTTTTTATATTTTTACGGATTTTTGACTATTTTTGAAAATTATTGCATTATATTTAGATAAAATGCTAAATATTTTTTATGTATCAACCTTTAAAATATGTATTTTAATTAATTAAAATTTATTTATTTAAATAAATTTATTTTCATGCTTTATTGTTTATACTTACAAAATATAAATACAGTAAATTAATATACATTTGTATTGAATTCAACTAAAATTTTTGATGAAAACTGAGTAAATGCACTGTAATTACATAGAAATTTGCATTTTATTAACTACTACTGTATTAATGTATGTATGAGTTAATTAAAATGAATGAAAAAAAATTTAAAAAATAACTAATCAATTAATAAATTAAATTGACTACAAAATTGTTTATAACTAATCTATAAACATAGATTATCCTGGTAGTATCATGGTATATTATACAATATAATGTATTAAATATAGCAATTAATATATCAATATGTATGTAATCCTACAATTTGTATAATAAAATTAAAAATTATAGAGAAAATAAATTGATATTTAACATAATTAGTTTGTTATTATTAACATTAATTGTTTATTAAACGTTAATTGCAAAATAATTAATCAATATATAAATTCAATTCATATTCAAATTAATGCTATAGTGATTAAAAACTAAACAATATTTAATAATAAACTTTTTTTTATAATCGGGAAAAATAAAATTTTACCTCAAATTGGACATTCATTATATGGTTCACTATATTTTAAGATAACTTTATTACCAAAAAAAAGTTTTACAATAATTAGTTTGAGTTATGTTTGCGACAAAATGTTAGTGCGATTAGTAAACTAAATGCCAGACTCTCGATGTCTATTGAATAGCAATTAATTATAAATTATATTAATATAAGTATTGATTGCCAATCACTTGATTAATACTGATAAACAACTAATAGTTTTTAAATACAGCAAACGTTTGCCAAAAACAACTTAATTGCAATCAAAGTTCAAACCAAATGTTTGTTATTATTATTATTACATTTAATAAAATCATTCAATGGTTTTGTTATTCAATGAATACAATTCAATAACTTTTGTATTGACGTAATGTATGTCTCATTCAATGCATTGATGTCTTGGACTAAGCGATTGAAAGAGCCGTCAAAACAATGGATGAGTCGGTTGAAGATCAGGACAAATGGCTATACAGTGAATCCGCTGCACAAAGTGGTCAACAATTAGATGACAATGTATCTCAAGATCAACAACAAAGTGATGATTTGTCGCACATCTTTGACAATCAGGTATTTCATACACAGATTCTCTTCAGTTGAATCATTCAAAAGTAAATTATTGTCTAAATATTCATCAAATGTCTTGTATTTATCATTGATTTAGTCATCAGATGGCTTCAGACAACTATACGAAGTGCAGAATACTTTGGCTGACGATTCTTCGACTGCAATAAAAGAGGAGAAAGATTATGACTTTGAATCAAATGAAAAGGAAATAAACGCCGAAACAAATGATACGAACGATGGCGAAGAAGAAGAAGACGACGATGAAGATGATGATGACGACGACGATGACGTTCAGGTGACTATTGGCGACATTAAGGCCAACACATCGGCGTTTCCTTACGGATCAGCGCCGATGAACATCAATATAACCAAACGAAATGCCAACTTTGCTTCGGGACAAACGAGTTCTGTTAATAAACCGAAAGCCGGTCTCGATATTGACGCCGTCGGTACTTTTAATGGCGTTTCAATATACGACGTGAATTTGGACAGTCTTGAAGAGAAACCGTGGCGTAAACCCGGCGCTGATATAACCGATTATTTTAATTATGGTTTTAATGAAGAAATGTGGAAATTGTATTGTGAAAGACAAAAGAAACTAAGAAATCATGATTTCTTGACGAATGGCACGACACAGAACACTACTAATAGACCGACACCGAGTACTTCAGGCACTCAACCCAATGCACCCGAAAGGACCGGAAAACCCGGAACTTCTGAACAATCAATACCTATTGCATCTGTCAATGAGAATTCAAAATATACGGGACTCGGTCCGACCAAAAAGGCCGGTCCTCCTCCTGGACGAAAACAGTCGGGTGCTATAGAGGTTATAGGAGGTGGAGCTGCTAACACTCCATCAATGCTCCCCAGTCGTAGACCACCTGATACTAAAGAAAATTTTATACAAGTAATTGGTAATCGCCCACCTGGTCCTCCAGGCCCTCCTCCACCTGGAATACCACCAGGTATGCCATTTCCTCCAATGTCAATGCCACCTCCATTTGGGTTTCCGCCGCCACCGGGAGTTGACTTTCCTCCTGGTATACCTCCGCCCGGAATGCCACTACTTGGTCCCAATGGGCAACCATTACCCTTTCCGCCGGGAGACTTTCCACCACCACCAGGAATGCGTTTTCCACCTCCTAATATTATGCACCCGAATTTTGAAGAACAAAGTGATGGATATCATGAAGGTATGAGTGGTGACGGCAATGATGACAGAGATCGTGACAGAGATAGAGATCGCGAAAGAGATTACCACCGATCAAATCGATATAATCGTGAGTTTAGAGATGATGACTCATTTAGAGGTGGCAGAAGTCACTATCGGGATCACAGGGAACACGTAGGGGACAGGGATTACGAAAGAGAACATCACGAGAGGTCACGAGATCGCGAACCAGACAAAGACTACGAAAGTCGTAGACATCGTGACAGAGATAAGGATAGAGAGCGAGACAAAGAAAGAGATCGAGGAGACAGAGAATCGTCCAGAAGAAGACATCGTGAGGAACACTATGATGAAGACGATCATAACAGCACCCGATCCTCGAGACATAAACACAGCAAAAGATCTAAAAGAGATAAAGAAGAGGATGAAGGAAAAGAAAGCAAACATTGAAACTATTGTACAGTAAATACATATTTGTCATCATTTTTATAAACGGCTGTTATTTTGTAACAAACATTAGACTTATTCGTGTAAATTACCCTTTTACCCCGTATAATCATACATGTACCATTAAGTGAATTTAGGAAAAGGGGTGTACCATTATCCGGGTAATGGTACACTGTTTTTAAAGTAAAGTAAGAAACAGTAAACTATTTTATGAGTTTATATTAATGTATTATAAAATGTACCTAAAACTGTAAAATAAGCTAAAAACTGAATGACTACAGAAAAAACAATAGTTTTTAAACTAAATATCATAAACAGCGGTAATATTATTGATAGTCAACATAATGAAGACCCGACTGGTATTTCAGATACTGAATCAGATATTGAAGACATTAATGAGACAATTGATTTCGAAGAAAATTAAAAAAAAATTAAAACTTAAATTAATTAAATGTAATGTTTTGAATGAATACAATAATAATAAATGGTTATAATTAGTTTTGTATGTACCGTAATTCACTTAATAGTACATGTACCTTTATGTCGGTAACAGTCTTGGGGTGTACCATTATCCGGATAATGTTACATACATTTACCCCATTACCATATTTTCCTAAATTCACTTAATGTTACATGTATGATTATACGGGGTAAAAGGGTAAGTTTAAATTTATTATTTGATTATTATTGACATAACCGTAATATTGTGTTTAAATTTATTTTCAATCAATTATCTAAATTTTAATAAAAATCAATAGACTAATGAAAACATTAATATATATATTATAAAATGTGTTAATGATATACATAATTAAAATAATGAATTGAAATATTAATTATTTTGGACATCAGTTTCCAGTTCTTTGGTATATCTGTCATAAAAAGTAAACTTTCCCTCAAATTTGATGTCTGGATCTTCGCCTTCTTCGGCAATCCTGTGTTTCAACCAAAAGAGTTCATCTTTTTCTGTATTTAAGTCTTTTTCATTCAAATAAACAAATGGTATTTTAAACTCTTCTTTGATGTCCACTGTTTGTCCCTTTTCTTGTTTATGTCTCATCAAAAACAGTTTCATTAGCGGCGGAACCGAATAATTTTTCGGCAACAAAGTCTTGACATCACCCAAATCAGTCACTTGATATCCATTGAGAAATTTTTGTTCTTCGTCTTTAGGAATAAGTCTGAAATCAGGATTATATCCATCTTTGAAAGACCTGATTCCCGGCAATCGTTTACCTCTGAAGACTGTCTCACAATAAACGGTTCCAAATCTAAGTTCTTCATCCATTCGTGGCTCAACTCGTCTGATGATATGATAGGATGGTTCGGGATATTGAGTCAACTCATGTCTGGTAATCATTCTTCCGATTCCAAAGTTCTTGAGGTTCGCCAATATCTCCCACACAGTCTTACCTTTAAAACTGGTTTTACGGCCGATATATATAGTCTTCATATTTGATTGTCTTAATTAATTAGTCCAACAAATCAACTAAATAACTAAACAATTGACAATCAAATCAAAATCTTATGAAAAAGTTGACCACATTTTTACACAACTGATTGTCCATTCATTCATTCAATCAAAACAAACAATTCATTCATAAAGTATTCAAACATTTGTTTTTTTAAAATACTGTTTAATAGTTACGTAAATATCATTACATAAGTATAATAAAGTTTTATTTAACTTTATGTGACATTTGATTATTGAAATTTAATTTTAATCAATATTTATAGCATTTTTTAAAAATTATTTACAAGAAATCAATTAACAAAATAAATAATTATTATTTTAAAGTAATGTTTATAATGTGTTTGAAGTAAGCGCTCATATAATGTATAATATAAGTGAACACAACTTTGTGAACACATTTTGTTTTTAATGTTTTTATTGAGATATTTATAACATTTTTGTCGCGCCTTTTGTCACAATATTATCGTAACTGATCTCAAATTTGTGGCCAAACTATCGGTTATTAAGATAAGACAATTTGTTTTATCGATAACACCAGTATCTGGTGATCACTTTGGTTAGCGATGACATTCATGGTATCAGCCATTAGATTGTCAGCGCTTCGGGCGCTTAGTCTAAACAACTGTCAAGTCTTAAGATCATCGCATCAGTTGCCGATCATTCAGACGTCTAATCGTTTGATTAATATCTTTGGAAAGATTAATCAAGATATTCCTGTAGTAGTTCCCAACCGACCCAAGAGACCGGCCAACGGCTATAATATCTTCTATCAAGACATGTCACCCAAATTGAGAGCACAAAATCCCGGAATCTCTATTAAAGAAGTGGCCAAAGCTATTGGCGAACAGTGGAAGAATTTGGACTCAAAGATAAAACAAGAGTTAACACAAAAAGCAAAGGTTGCGAGCGATCAATACAAACAAGACGTCGAAGAGTGGAAGAAAAGGTTAACCGATGAACAAAAGGATTTATATCTCAAAGCAATTAGGGTTTGTACTGAAGATACCAGACATTTGTTTATTACTTTAATTGATTTGATGCTTATATTTGTCTTTATTAGGATCGCAAACAATCACTTGCAAAACGTCGTCTCAAAGTAGAGCTCAAACATTTGAATTTCCCGATTAGATCCAAATCGGCATTTAATATATTTATGAAAGAAGAGGTCGCCCGACAAAAGGGAACGGCAGCTCATAAAGAGGTGTTCAAAAATGTTGTCACTAAATGGAAATCATTGACACCATTAGATAAGACACCGTACGAAGAGATGGCCAAAATTGATAAAGTGAGGTATACTGAGGAGTTGAATAAGTGGAAGACAGATATCGCACAGCCGGAGAACAAAGAACTATTGGATAAACTCGAAAAACTTAAAGAAAAGTCATTGAAAACTAATTCAAAAACTAATGAAGAAGAAACCGAGACCAAGAAAAAGAAGAAGAAAAAGACCACTAAGAAAGCTGAATCGTCTAAGACTACCACTAAACCAAAGTCAACTAAAACTAAGTCTAAGTCAAAGACTAGTACTGGCAAAGCAAAGTCAAAGCCTAAGACCAAATCTGACACTAAGAAGACTAAGGAAAGTAAGAAGAAGAACACTAAGGATGACAAGTCAAAGGAAGAGATCAAAGAAGGGAACAGTTCTGATGAATCGGAAAAAGAAAATCTTTAAAAAATTGAAACAAAAGTCAATTATATATTACATTATAAGACATTTTGTCCATGAGATCAGTAATTATTGAATTATATGTCTTCAGTATAATCATTGAATTTTTCAACTTTTGACATAAACTTAAGTAATCATAGCATTTGTTTCATTGATTAAAATTATATATATTTTTAATAATAATTTTTGAAACACTAATTTGTAAGAAATTATGTCTAAAAAATCTGTTATCATTATATACTATACATTATACTGTATATAAAACAGTAATGATATTTTGTATTGAATTGACAGTTGATTTGCCATTTTCTATACATTAAGCTGTCAATCGTTTATTAAAACGTGAAATAAATTGAATGTTTAAAAATGATAATAAGTTACTGATTGCATAAAAAGCAACGCATAAATTAATAATGAATGAGATAATGTGTGCGAAAGTGATAAACAAATCTAATTAACTAAGTTTACGGTAAAACACAATAATTAAGTTATAGTAACTTTGTTCAATTGTATTTAAATTAATCTGATACAAAAGTTTAAATCAAAACTATTTTATCATTATAATAATTAATAAAAATTGCTATTTAATTATAACTAATTCAACCATATATTTAACACTAATTTTATACCATATATAATAATGATATTATTCAATATAATTATATTTTCTATAGTATTTCACTTAATTTGTTGAACTTGTTTTTTTAAAAAAATATTACACTGTCTATACAATTTAAGTAAAAGTTATCCAGGCACAAAACTAAATTGTATGATAACTAGTAGCAGTGAGGTTAAGTTTATACTGTATAACTATTTTTTAAATTATATGCAAAATAATTAGCGATAACAAATTCACTGATAATTATCAAATCATTAAATAAATGTACTTTTAAAAACTTTTACACTATTGAAGCCGAAAATAAAAACAATTTTTGACCTAAAAATTAATTAATAAACTAATCCATAAGTCTATAAACCATATTATTTAGTGTGCAATTTATTCTCTCTCTCTCTCTCTCTCTCTCTCTCTTTCTTTCTCTCTYTCTCTCTCTCTCTCTCTCTCTCTCTCTCTCTCTCTCTCTCTCTCTCTCTCTCTCTCTCTCTATTTGTTTATATTGCGGCATAAGATTTAATTGTTTTCTGTTAATTTATTAAACAAAACAACAACAAAAAACACTAAAACAGCGACAAAAGTTTTTTAACTTTTTTTCTTGCAAAACACTTGTTTAGCAAATAATTTATATATACAGTATATATTCAATTGGTTTACTGTATTGAGTATTTACAGTAATTTTTAAACAAAAAATTTTTACATAAAACCAGTAAAATTACTAAAGAAATTGTTTAGTATTTATGAAAACTATATTTCGAGGATCATTGATCCGCACACTCGCCTAATACCAGATCTTTCTCTCAGTCATTCATTTAAGTGCTACTAATATAATATAACTTTATTTTTATGAATAAGAAAAATAAGTAATTTTTTTCTTCCTCTTAACCTAAATACAGGCCTTTAAGTGATCCAATGGGACCTATTTTATGCAAACTCTGCTAAATATATACAATAATATATATATATATATTGTTTATTGCATTTATATTAAATATACTGTACATATATTATACATTGTACAGGTATTATACAGTACAATAATAAATACTATTGTTTACCATATTATATGAAATACAATTACAAATACAATAAATTAACTATAATAATTATTATATAATAATATTTTTGACAGCATATTATTTATTATTAGTTTTTATTTTGATTTCCACTTTTTAAAAGAAGAAAATCACTTTCATTTTAATTATTAGTGAAAAATCAATATTTATTGTTTTGTCATTTGATTTTAATGATAGTTATTGTTTTGTGAAATATTTTTTATTTATTTTTTGATTAAATAATTGCAAAACTAGTTATTATCAATTTAAGAAAAATAATTATGCTATATTAGGTTAATTTATATTTCACAACATAATATACTGTATAGTTATCAATAAATTATCACGAAATGATAATTATAAGGTGTCAAATATTGGAAATTTTTATTAATTAATTTCTATAATTATTCGTATAGTACACATCACTTATTATTTTACTGCTAAATAAAAACTAATATATATTGAAAATTATGTAAATAATTTTTCATTAATTAATATTAATGTTTAATTTATAGGTATTTAATAAGGCGTTGCGTTTAATTAAAATGAAACACAGAATATTGGTTATTAAAATAATTAAAAACACTAAAGATAATTATTAAAATAATTATTAATTTTATAATTAATTAACTATACACATTAAATGTATTTAGTAATAAAGATGACTATTAAAATAATTATTTTATATATTTTATTTTAATATTAATAACTATATAATTTAAAATAAAATTTATTACCTATAATATATCAAAGATAAAATTTTGTAGTATTAAAGTGTTGTAAATAATATGTCTAATTAATTAAATATATGTAGATTTTTTGGCAAAATAGCTAATTTTTTAATTATAAATAATTAAATTAAAATTACTGTAATTGAGTTGCAGAATAAGCATTATTAGAAAAACAATTAAAAGTGAAAATTTATGATTTTGTAATTAAATAAAAATTATAGTTTTTATATTTTATTTATGAAGAATTAATCTGATTGTTGTTTTTTRAATATTGATTTTTGTGATATAATTAATCACTCGATTCATCTAATTTTAAAAATAAATTTTGTATGAACTTTATACTGTATAAAAACAATTAAACTGTTTTATTGATGTTTAAAATTTTTAAATATATGCAATTTATATGTACAATAATTTACATACTATTAAGAGTTTAAATAATTGTTATTAACATTAGACCCAATTTATTTTTAAGTAATATAAAATATTTGGATATTTTTATGAGTCTCTAATGGATGTCATGAGAAATAAACTAACCTTAAAATCTTTCTTTTCTATATATTGTAGATATAATAATTCACAATATAATATAACTTTTGTATTTTAATATAAGTTAGTATTATATAAAATACTTTTATATTTTAATTTCTTTTTATTTTGATGTATTTATGACATTATTTTCTTAAAGTTAAAAATAATGTTTTTAACAAATTAAATAAAGATTTTACAGTTTAATAATAATTTAAGCAATAACATAGTCTACAAATAAATTGTTACACAAAAAAACAAATAAAATTTTTTCAAAAATTGCTTTAATTAATAATTTTGAAAACAGGAAATAGACACAATTATTTTTATTTAAGTTTATATTTTAAATAACTAAATTAATCATTTCTAAATAATACTATATTTTAAATTAAATTTATTTATATTTAGTTCACTTTTGTGCTCCTTTTTAATAAAAAACTATTTTGAATATAAAAATAGATATACATTCTTATTGCCCGTAGTTTTATTGCTTTTATCTATTAAAACATGTTTTGTTTAAACAAATACAAAAAGTAAAAATATAGATTATAAATAGAGTATATTTGTTAAATTAAAATATATATATATATAAAGTAACAGTATCATTTTTATAATAACTCTATGTTATAAATAAATTGCAACTCAGGTTTTTCCCAAATATAAAAAAACATTAGTAAAGTATAAATATATATAAATTTATATTAATGATTTCTAATATTAATACAAAAGTTATATGATTTATATGAAACAAAATTATAAAAATAAATATATATTTTAAGAGTAAAATAAATGAAAAATAACTTAAAAACTAATTTAAGTAAACATAACTATAATAGTGATAGTATTTAACTAATAATTTTTCTTTGTAAATGTATTAGAAAATTCAACATTAGTTGTATACATACTATAAATTAAGCACAAAAAAGTAAGTATAATAAATGAGAATTAAATATTCATAAAAATATATTCTGTTGTATTTATATTTGAAGATTAATTCAAATTATGGTTATTATATAACTTGAGGTTATGTTCAACTTTTATCAGGCTTTAAGTTCAGACAGTTTTTATTTATTTTTTTAATAAAAAACTGAAGGCCTGGCGGCCAAAAGTCAAGTATTTTTACTAAACGTTTTTATATAGAGTTCTAAATTTATATAAACATTCAAAAATATGTGTAACATTTTTTCCACAATAACACTACACAAACATTTAATGCAAAATAAAAAAATGATTTTTTTGTACATTTTTGAGCTAAAGGCGCGTAAATACCTGTTTAACATTGCATTGCAATGTATGTAATATATATTTGATTATATTATATAACATAAATATAACTGCATTGCGAGGCAAACAACCTTTAAATTAACTAATCGTTGTTTGAAAACTGATTGTATTATATAAGTGAATACCCACTAACTTATTTTTTAAAATTTATTATACAATATTTTAAATATAAAAAAACTTAAAAAACTGAGAGAGAAATGTCCTGAATATTGCAACTCATGACTCCTATTATATAACATATATTATTTAATAATATTCAGTTACTTTATATAACTTTTTAATTGATAGATATTTGATGAATGATTTTTTTCGATTATATCGATTATATTATCATAAATATACTAAGATTTAAGATATACAAAATATATTTATAACTGTTGTTAATTTTATTTTATTAATAAACAATAATATTATACTTAAAATAACATATCAATTTATTTACAAATTTACTTTAGTAATTATTACATAATAATATAACACTATATTCATTTAATGTGTGTTATTATCATTATAATTATTATTTGACATTTGTATCGCTATTTAAAAACACATTACAATAATAATAATAATCAATATAATATCAAATTTACGTGTATTTGTTTGTTTTTTGTAGATTGAGAAATAGATATATTTTTTTCAACAACAAAATTATATAATAATAATTAAAAAGGTTTCTCAAGTTTTTTACTCGTCATTACTTTGGATAACAATTGTCTGAATGAGTGAAAAAACAAATTAAGTGAAAACTTTTTTTTTAAAAGAGAAAAATTATGAATTAAATGAATTGTGAAAACAATTATTATTTAAAAGAGAAAATGAAATAATAATTTGTTTATATATATATTTTAGTAATAAAATGATAACTTAAAAAGTTTATAGCATTTGTGTGCTTTTTTGTTGTTGAATTACAATGAATATAATCTTATAAACACTAAGTAAAAACTAATTATTTAATTTGTTAACACTTAATAAAACATTTAATTTGATACATATATATAAAGATATATATCAATAAAGTATTTGGCGATTTTCAATATAGATATCAAGTTTGAAAATAGTGTCAAAATATAATACAAGAAAGCATTTTTGTTTGAGGATAGACTTAGATCTCAATATTATGAATCATATGATCAGTGCTTCTGTTGTTGTTGTTCTTGTGGCTCATGTATTGATGATTGTTGTTGTTGTTGTTGGTGTTGGTGTTGGTGTTGGTGTTGAATGGGTTGCGTCTGTGGCGGCAATTGTTTGTTTTCATGGACATTACTGGCAGCCTTGGCGTAGTCTCCATAACCTGAAGCATAGGAGGGTGGGTGGTAGACCGGCTTTTTCTTAATGTAAACCCTAAATAAATAGAGCGAAATAGAAAAAAGGTTAATTCAACTCATCATATATGAGAGCTTAGGTATGCTATGCTCTGACAGTTATATATTTAGAAACTAATAGCAAAATGTAATGTTATTTATACACACATCAATTGCTATAATTGTTTGAAAACCCATTATAAAGAGCATAACAACCCAAACAATTAGGTAATAGACTTATTAATAATTATAACAAATGACTTGTATATTGTATTTATGTTATTATATTAGACAATAAAGTTTGACTTACGGTACGGGCACGTGTACGGGTTTCTTGACAATCACTTGCTTGTAGATGGGCACTTTAACGGGAACCGGGTATGGTTTGGGAACGTGAATTGTTTTTGGTACGGGATACGGTACATATTTTGGTACCTTTACAGGTACTGGAACACCATATGGTTTAGGTACGGGAACAGTCTTGAAAACTGGCACCGGATAGTGTTTAATTACTGGTACGGGCACCGGAACTGGTTTGGGAACTGGGACTGGAACCGGCTTAGGTACTGGTATAGTTTTCGGGACGGGTATTATTTTTTTGATAGTCTTATAGATGGGAACTTTGACTGGAATGTGGACCGGATGAGGTACGGCTACAGTTTTAGGAATGGGAACTATTTTGGGGACATGTATCACTTTAGGTATTGGCACTGGCTTTGGAATGTGGACAGTCTTGTGTATCACTTTAACTATAGGCGGTTCATGATATTCGCCACCACCATAACCACCGCCGCCACCGCCTCCTCCATAACCACCGCCGCCACCGCCTCCTCCATAACCTCCCGATGCGAGAATAACACCAATATATAGTGTGCCGAATATCAGCACAAATTGATTGAAATACATAACGAGTTTATATCCTATTACTGGATGTAAACCTAATAATATTAATAATAACAATCGTTATTAAAATAAACTTAAAATTTAAAGTTCAAAGACTTTTGAATATTTACTTCAATGTCTGCAAAACTTTTTAATTTACAATTGATATAAAAACAAGTAATGAATTTATAAAATGAAATGAAAATATCACATAAACTATATATATATATATATAGTTAATAATTATTTTAGTAACAAATCAGTGTCAATAAAACGCGAGTTAAGTTTCTTCAGGTTTCAAATTAAAGAAATAATAATATTATAAATACGCTTTTCTCTAAAGCTATTTATGTTTTATTAATACATATATTTAAAAAATTCAAAAAATTTTTGTTTTACTATAATAATACTAAATACAGGTTAAGAGTGAGTGTCAATTAAAAATTGGAAATATGTTTTGAATTTTAATTAATTTTCTAATTTATTTATACTATTATAAATACACATTTATAATTAGGATTATATAAAATTATATATAGTAACGAGCTATGTTATTATACATATAAATATATATATAYATATATATACAATATGTATAATTATATCATAGAATAAGACAAAATTGATAATTTTATTTAAATAAACACAAAAAGTCTATACTAATTATTTTTAATGATAAAAATATATCAAATAAAATAAGTTTAAAAATTGATTTAAAAAATAATTGTAATGACTTATCAAATGTTTGGCAAAATCCGTGAAATAAACAAATTGGTCATCAATTTATTTTCTCATAAATTTTCACAAAAACTGTTTTAGAAATTACAAAATTTACTGTAATCTTTGGGACATATTTACAGTAATATATTTATTTAAATTTTAAAAAAATATTTAATAAAAAACACACTTTACTTGTGAAACATTTGACTTAAGTTTACTTAATTAAAGTAAAACTACAAAAATGAAAACTTATTAAAAAACATTTACTGAATTAATAATAATTAGTTCACTGAATGCAGAAAATATGTTCAAATCAAAAGTGAAGTGTATTTTCGTCGGAAACTCACCTTTTAATTCATGAAAACAGTTTCTCTTGAGATATACTCAGTTGTGATCACTCGGTAAGCAATGTCTAAACTGAACTCACGGGAGGACCTCTTTGCTATGCCTTTATAAATGCGATGCCCTGAATAAACTTCACTACTAGCATATTGCCCTCAATGGCAAACATTACCTCATCAGCTAAGACAGACCCTCTAATGGGGACAACAACACACTATTCCCCTCATTACACAAAACCAGCCTCTCTTTCACTCCCTGTTTATCTACCGATTCATTTGTCGCTGTCGTCAATATAACAGTCATTTTTTAAGACCTACTTTACCGGTGAAATCAATGAAATATAATCATCTCAATTGACAGACAAAACAATAATATATATATATATACAGTAATAAAATATAAATACTGTATATTATATATTAAATAATTGTTTTTGATTTATTCATTAGTGATGAAAATTAATTTTTTTATTTATTAATTAATTTCTCTTATTTTCAAGTAATTTATTTAATTTTGAAATAAAATTATATTATATCATACAGTATATACAAGCATTGTCATATATCATAATTTTATAGTAAAGTATAACAATCTGAATTTTGTAATTTGGTATTAATTTTTTATGCATATGGTTGACCTATCAAAGCTAATTTTTTTTAAATAACTTTATATTATAACATTATTTTTAAAAATTACATTTATTATTAATAAAATTCATACAATAAAATGTTTAAAATAATTTTAATGATTAACTTTCGTAATAAAAATAAAATTATTGTTTACTATTTATTATGCAAATTAAAAGATATATCATAGTTTTTATTTATTTTATGTTATATTATTTTTTATGGTATATCTATTTAATAATATTTTTAATGCATACGTAAAATTAAATAAAATTGATAAAATTAATTTTTAAATTTTATTGTTTTACATATACAAAATGTTTTTTATAAACTTTTTATGGAATTTACTTTAGTATTTAAAAAATTTTAATTTATACAAAATAGATATTATAATTTAAAAATAAAAATTAGTTTATTTTTAAGTAGTATATTAAGCTTATTGTAAGTCTTAAAAATATCTTTTTATTATCGACAGCTTAAACTATAAATAAATGAAATGTTCATAAATATTAAATAAATTTAATTAATTCAAACTGAATTTGATTAATTTTTTAAATGTAACATTTAATTTATAAATAACTTTAATTAGTGTTTATTAAAGCAGAAAATTGCTAAAACAATTTTAATTGTCATATAAATTTATAAATAATTAATTGTCATTTATTCAGACTAACTAAATGCAAATAAATCACACATCTTATTGTTGTTGATGTAATTATTAATACATTTTATTTAATAAATATAACACATATAAATAGTTGAAAGTCATGTCTAATACGGAAATATTTGCTGCAAATATTATATTAAATAATGTCAAAACAATATGAAATTGTTTTTAAAGAAAGTAATAGTAAAACGACTGTTAAAAACAAACAAAACTTAGAATAAAAACTCAAAATTAAGTATTTTTTTGTAAAATATTTTATATATTAACTAAAAATTTAAATCATTTAATGTGAGAATAGATATTAAAATATAACCATTAAAGATATAATTATTTTATACATAATGTAAAATTTTCTATATTCACAAAATTTTAATTAAATAATAAACATGAACAATATGTTTGTGAAATTTAATTTTTAAATATAGCAATTAAATTTTCTTCACAAAAAATTGATAAATATTCAGTAATAATAATAACAATAATAAACTACAGTATAATGTAATATTTATTTTGAAAATAAATTACTAGTTTTCGTTTAACAATAACTACTGTGTTATTTAGCAATAATAAAACCAATAATTTTTTATTCAAATTACAGAAATATTTCCGCTTAAAACATGCAATCTTACTATTATTATTGATTATTAGAAATTTTTTAATGTATTATCAAATGATGCATTATATAAAAATATCATTAAAAATATTCAAAAAATAATTTACTTGTGCAAAGGGGGTATTTAAAGTGTGACAATAGTCTAAATAGGCAAAAAACAAAATATAACAACAATTTATTTTATTAATTTACTAAAATTTAATAATATATGTGATTTTAAATAATTATAGTTATAATAACTTTTCATTTATAAGTTTTAATATCCTTATCTTTTGTAAACTAAATTATTTAAACATTTAAAAATATATTATGATATCTGTTGCACATTATGCAATTATTATTTGATATATTTTTTTTATTAACACAGTATTTTTTATTTATAATGTATTTTATCAATAGAATTATTTGTGTTATACATAAAAAAAAATTTATGCTTAATATTTAAAATAAAAGCTTAATATTGAAAAAATAAAACAAATTTAAACTTCATATTATGACAATAGATGTTTTGCAATGTATTTTATAAAATATAATACACAATATTTCAAGTGTTAAGTCTATGAAAGTGTGTATTTTTTAGGTGAACCTCTAAATAAAAATATATTTTTTAAATTTTTACATAACAATATTTACAACTTTATCACTTAAATAAAACTTATTTTATTTTTTATATCTTATTTTTGTTGAATATATAGTATAAGTATAAATTTTAAAAATCTATAAAATAAAGTTCAACAAAAAATACTTTACTAATAATTTAATATTGCTTAAAATTAAATTAATAATTAACATTTAATAACAATTAATATATATTGTTAATATTTATTATTTTAATCAAATAATTTGTAGAAATGTTAATTATAAAATAAATAATTAAAAAAAATTATTTTATTTTAATGATTTTTATTAATTCTATAAATTTTTTCAAAAATTAATAAATCATTAAATAATATTAGATTTATTATTACTAATATTACTACTAGAGTTGACCAAAAAGGAAAAATTCTAAAAAATATTGTCTATGGGATTCCCATTTTAATTTTGTTTTTTTTATTATTATCTTTTAATATAATATTATAAATATTATTTAAATATTATTATTAGTATTTAATTTAATTTTTAAAGTTAAAAAAAATTATAATAATTTATAAGAAATAATGGCACATATATTGCATTCTTTAAATTAGTAATCTATCCTTTTTATGATAAGTATAAATTTTAATATATCAATATTATAGTTTTAACATTGTCGAGATATAGTATAGTTAATTAATTTTTTTAATTTTATTTTTGTTTAAATATAATAATTATATTTTGAATTTATAATAAATGTAAAATTATTTGTATTCTTGAATTATATACAAACAAATTATATATAATTGTAAATAATTTTTTATATTTTGTTAAAATTATCAATAATTATGTTTACATATAAATAATTTATTTAGTATATAATGAGTGTTGTAAAAATCTATTTATCCGTAATTTTTAATATTTAAATGACACACAATTTGAGACATTTATACAATAAATAATTAGTATTAGAATAGTTTGATTCTATTGTAGTTTACTTATGAATAAATGAATGTTGAAAAGTAAATGTTATTTATTTGAATCGCTTATACTTTCAGACTTTTTCCTGACTGTTGGCCTAAAACTAAAGCAAACTTTTCAACTTTTTTTAGAAATTGTTATTATTTTTATTTTTATTATTATAAGTGAAAACTATACACTACTACTGTATAATATACAGTATTAATATATTTATATACAGTATTTACAGTACATGTATCTATGCTTAAAATATAATGTTAAATATAAAATGCATTGGTAGATACAGTACATATCGCTGTAAGCAAACAAAATAAAATTATTAGACTTAAAATATGCCCTAAATTTTCAGTTAATTATCCAAATATACAGTTTAGATGTAGTAATAGAAAATTATTTGCTATATTTGTCTATGAATTCAGTTATTTATCACGTTTTATGTAGTTTCGTTGATTTAATTTCTTTTTATAGTTATATAGAAATATATAATATAACTTATAATAAAATATTATGTAATACTAATAGCAAACATTTTGCACAACAACAAAAAAAAGTTCAACAGTTTTCATAAAAACAGATTTTGGTTAAAAATATTTTATAAAAGAAAGTGATTTTTATTGTTTCTTATAAACATAAAATCTATATAATTATACATATATTTTTATAAATAGTAAATAGTCGTTTAAATGATATCATTTAAAAATATTTTACCCTTAATTGATTACTAAATATATACATTAGTGGTAATATAACATTTATAGCATTTATATTTTGGCAAATTGAAATCATGTTGACATTAAATAATAATTTTAAAATTAAACTTTTATACACTTATGCTTAAACAGGTTATTGTCCAAACAAATAGTTGATTTTAAATTTACTTTAAATTAAATATAGATTTATTATTTTACGTCATATCACACCCACTTTTACCTCTTTTGATAGAAACCCTTCCGGACTAATAATATTACAAATAAATATAATAGTATTTGAAATAATACTATTTAAAAAAATAATAATCCATTTAATTTATACAAACAACTCTTAAATAAGAGTTTTAAGTAGAAATTGTCTAATAAATGTTATACTAAAAAAATTGAATAAATATAAGTTTATATTTTTTAATAATTGACCACAAAATTTAGGTAAAAATACAATTTATAACAACCAACCCAACCCTTACTCTACCCACCACTTAAGTTATATATATATATATATTAAGATTATATTAAATATTTCTCAATAAATACTGTATACATACAGTATAATATTCAAATCAATTATATATAAATTATATATACATATATATAGATTATGGGTGCAACATTTTAATTGCTTTTAGCCTGATTTTTAAGCTAAATAAGTTATTTTTAAAATAAATTTTCTTATATTTTAAATAAACATAAAAGAAATTGTGTTTACAATAAATACAATTTACTATTTTTATTACTCAAATTATGTGTTTAAAGATATATAAAAGTGATAATACAAATAAATTATACGTTATATTTTTTTAATGAATGATTAAATCAAACGCTTTTATAGTATAGTTTTTAAAAGTTTTTTATACTTTTATGTTTTTCTCAAATTACATTCAGTATTAATAGATTATAACATAAATCTTTTTTCTAACAAAATTGCTATTGATTAATATTTCTATTTATAAAATATAAAAAATTCATACAATTGGGGAAACCTGTTAATATAAATATTTTTATAACAATATCAATGAAACGAGTAGACGAATTAAATTATTTATTGGTCAGAAATACATTAAACATAAGTTAATTTGTTTAAAAATATTCACACACACACACACACACACACACACACACACACACACACACACACACACACACACACACACACATACATACATACATACATACATAYAYATATATATATATACGTTATATATATATATATRTATATATATCTATATATACATTGCAAATTATAAACTAAAAATCAAAATTAAATGGATTTATTTATTGTGCTTAAAATTATAAACGATAAGCATTAAGATATTCATCAAAAAGTAGTAATTGTTAAGTCATTTATATGATAGCTATCTCTATGTGAATCCTCATCTGACGTGTGTATAGACTCTATAGAGTATATAAAGTGTTTGTATTATAACTGTATGTATATTCCTATCATTTTGTAAATCAATTGTTTCATTGACCCTAAACTTGAAGTCAATCCGTATTTTTATGTTTTCTTTTATTTATTAAATGCATTTCAACTCTTCATTATTGTCACTACAATACTTTGCCATACAATCCATACATATTATACAATATATTTGTTTGTATGAATTCATTTGCATATAATTTTTTATTAATAAAATTATTTTTTTGTTTAAAAATAAAAACTTTATTAATATAAGTTCTGAGGAGAGAGAGAGAGAGAGAGAGAGAGAGAGAGAGAGAGAGAACGAGGGAGAGAATTTACCTATAATTTATAATATGACCTAATTTAAAGATTATTTGTGTGTGTAAAGTAAAAATTGGATGAAAGTTTTTATTTTATAAATATTATTTTTAAGCACATATTTATGTAATATTTAAACACCTTAGGCTTTGGGTACCTAAAAATAAATCGATATCTAAATTAATAAAAATGTCAGAGCAATAAAATAGTATGTAAAGTATACATATACAGTATATTATATAGATGTGTGTGTGTGTGTGTGTGTGTATGTGTGTGTGTGTGTGTGTGTGTGTGTGTGTGTGTGTGTGTGTGTGTGCAGTTTATTGCAGTTTATATAATATCTATCATATAATGAAAATTATTGCATTTTTGAAATAAAAAATTATAATTGCATTTAAAGTTCATTTTCATTTTATAACTAAAATGCGAACTCAACGAGAGAGAAATCTATTTTTATAAATTTATATTACTATATATATGGACATAACTTTGTTTATATTTGTTTTTAGATCTCTCTCTCTCTCTCTCTCTCTCTCTCTCTCTCTCTCTCTCTTTTTTTCTCTATCCGTATCGCTATATTTAAAACTAAAAGTTTTTGTTTTAATTAGCCTATAATTCAATCATCGACCTTATTATCCCCTAAACTAGTATTATTACTGATTATTGCTAATAATGTGTTTGAAAGCGGACCCCACAATGATATAAACTTCATGCTATAAATTATTGTCATATCTATTGCCACTAAATATCAATATTAATAATTAATAGAAACCACTAATATTGGTAAATCAAATTAATTATAACTTTATTTAAGTATTAATATTTTATTATTAGGCCACTTCTGTATATTTTATTGCTTACAATAATAAACATATTAAAATAATAATCAAAAAATTTTTAATTCACTTTTTATTACAGTATTATTACAAATATTGTATTATTAGTAATATAATAAAATGTGACCCATAGACCCATAATTTACTGGTAACCTACAAGTATTTAAAGTATAAAAGATTTTTACAATTATGCTTATTATTTAATTATTAATATAATAATTATGAATTGTTATAATTTATATTTAATTATTCATAATATTAATTGAATAATTGTTAAGCAATGGAAAGGTTTCAAATTAAATGTATAGTTATTTATTGAATGGTTAATGATTGTAATGAATGTGTCATTTGACTGATTGAACCCAAATAATTGATAAAATCATTTTTAAGTACTCATTAAAAACTATGATGAAAACTTATTTATACATTTGAATAATTGACTCTCCATTCACACTAGTATTAAGGATTTTTGCTTAATTTATAATTTTTGATTAACCCTTAATTTGGGTCAAAATTGGGATTTCCAATAAATTGTTATTTTTAAATTTTATTTTAATTTTTTTTATCGATTGTATAGAATTTGTTATTTATTTTTAAAAGTAAAAATAACCATTTAATTAATCTAAACAAAACTTTCAAAAAATACTTCAATAAATATTTGCAATATATGTAAATTATAATAAAGTACAAAATTAAAATATATTAAAAAATTATTTGATTTTTAAAAACATTTATATTCAGCAATTTGTAATAAATTTAAAATTAAGCTAGATGCAATTGGTATTAAACAATTACAGTAAGCTATATACATTATATTATCTAATAATTGTTAATAAAGATTATTACAAATTATATCAAATTCTTATTTTAAAAAAATAAACTTAAAAACAAAAAAAAATTAAGTTATATTTAGTAAATTTAGACTAAATTAAAAAATAATATTTGTTTGTTATATATTATAATATTTATATTAAATATTAGCTATAATTAATTATATTTACGGATGACTTAAATAAAATTTATAATTAAGGAACTAATTTATAATTAAATAAATAAAAATTTTATTAAGAGACAAAAGTAGCCAAAGAATAAAATTTGATTTTACTATAAATATAGTATTTATTATAATAGGCAATTATTTTTAAAAATAAAAGTTTACTTGATTATATTTATAATTAGAATAATATTCTAATTATAATTGAATTAAGTTGAATTATTTTAATAAATAAAATTATGATATATTTATATATAATTTTTTAGAAATTAAAAGTAAATTTTTGTGTTAACTGAAATTATTTAAATAATTACAATATAAAAAATAAAAATTAATTTTTTCAGTGAAAATAAATGGTTTGTTGCATAATTTAATATTTGTACAAAATATACTGTTAACTGTTTTCTAACTTAAATACATTTAAATTGATATAATTTTGGATATTATCTAAATTAATGTAGAAATCATTAGTAATTATTTAATATATAGTTTATTGTCGCTTATTGTTTTGTCTGTCAATTGAGATGATTATATTTCATTGATTTCACCGGTAAAGTAGGTCTTAAAAAATGACTGTTATATTGACGACAGCGACAAATGAATCGGTAGATAAACAGGGAGTGAAAGAGAGGCTGGTTTTGTGTAATGAGGGGAATAGTGTGTTGTTGTCCCCATTAGAGGGTCTGTCTTAGCTGATGAGGTAATGTTTGCCATTGAGGGCAATATGCTAGTAGTGAAGTTTATTCAGGGCATCGCATTTATAAAGGCATAGCAAAGAGGTCCTCCCGTGAGTTCAGTTTAGACATTGCTTACCGAGTGATCACAACTGAGTATATCTCAAGAGAAACTGTTTTCATGAATTAAAAGGTGAGTTCAATATACAAAATATAATATTTGAACGGTTTTTAAAACCAAAAAGTTTTTAAAGCAGTGTTTTTACAGCAAAAGTTTTTAGAAAGTTTTTAGAAACAACTTATGGATAATCAATTGATTTATTGATATTCAGTGACTAATAAATAACTATTATTTTAGTGCATTCATCTATTTTTTCTTTAATAATAATCAACTATTAAAATTGGTTTATATTATATGTCTGTGAAAAAAATATATTTAACTTTTTTTAATTATACATAAAATTAAATAGCTTGGAGTATAACAGCAATTAGAGCTCACGTTTTTTATTTATTAATTTATGCAACTTTTTAACATTAACTCATCAAAAATATATAAAATCATCAAATTGTTAATATTATTGACATTTCTTTGAAGTAAAATCTCTTTTATTTTTTAGGTTTTGCTAAAAGCAGACCAACCATGAGATTAGCAATTAGATCTATAGTATGCTTATGTTGGGCAGCATTAGTCATAGCCGATGGCTATGAAGAAGGAGGAGGAGGTGGCGGTTATGGTGGTGAAGGAGGAGAAGGCGGAGGGGGTTACGGTGGAGAAGGTGGCGGAGGTTACGGTGGAGGAGCCGGCGAAGGAGGCGGCGGAGGTTATGGCGGCGGAGGCGGCGGAGGTTACGGAGGAGAAGGCGGCGGAGGTTACGGCGGTGGAGGAGCCGGCGGAGGAGGCGGCGGAGGTTACGGAGGCGAAGGCGGCGGAGGTTACGGAAAAGGAGGCGGTGGTGGCGGCGGTTACGGTGGGGGTGAACACGTGGAATACGCGAGACCAGTGAAGATAATAGTGAAACACATTGCAAAACACATTCCGTATCCCAAACCATATCCGGTTTATAAGAAAGTTCCGATTCCAAAGCCGTATCCTATCTTTAAGCCGTTACCGGTGGCCAAGTTTGTACCAAAACACGTCATTGTGCCGGTCGTGAAACACGTGTTTGCACCATATCCTGTCATAAAGCCGGTTCCGGTGGCAAAACCATTTCCCGTCCCAAAGCCGGTAGCAGTTCCCTATCCAGTCAAGGTATGCTTTATTTTAATTTTCAATTATAGTTAATCACTGAAAACCCCAATATTTATTAAATAATGTTGTGTTGTATTTAATTGATTGGTTAATAATTTTTAATTAATTAATTTAATAATTTGTTTTAAAATTTAAAATATCTTTAGGGAGTAGATTGTTATCTAAATTTATATATTAAGGCATTTAAAAATATTTTTCCAAAGTTAAAAACTATTTAAAGCCTTAATAATATCATTATTATTAATAGTAAAAAAATGAAAAAAACAGAGATTAATTAATTTCTAAAATAAAATATTAATTAATAATTTTGTTGTTAGAGAGAGAGAGAGAGAGAGAGAGAGAGAGAGAGAGTAATTTAAATTATTTTAATACGAGTTATAAAGCAATAATTAATTGGCAAATGAATGAATGTATTGTATAGTAATTTATTTAATAGTAATTTTGTTGATATATTGCCACAAAAAGAGAGCATTTGAAACATTAGAAAGATTTTAAAATTCAATTCACACTCAATTCCTAAATATATGTATATATTTAACTTATAGACAGCCATATATTAGATACTAAATATATAAAAGTCTCTACTATTAGAAAACAGTTATGTAATACCAGTTCTCTGACTCTCCCATAATAAGGTCGACGGTTCGATAGTCGGCTAATTAAAACAACTTTTATTTTTATAACTTTTTTAGTTATGCCTCTCATGTTGTTATGCTTTAAACAAAATTTTTGAACAAACAATTGACGCAAAACATTGAATATGAATTTTTAGTAATTTGTGTTTGCCGTGTGTTATAAAAATAGATTACTTTTTTATACGATATTACTTTTAATAATATTTAATATATTATTCAAGTATTTGATTGAAGAGCAATAAAAAAACCATTAAAATAATAAAAAACAATTTATAGATAAGGAGTTCAACATAAATAAATGCAACAACAGTTATGTGAATAAATAATAAAACAAATCATTGTTTAATCGACACATTAGTTACATTTAAGACAATTGATTAAATAACACATTTAAAAAACATGTCAATTAAAATCAATTTATCAATTTAAACATTATAGGTACCTAAGCCTTACATAGTACATGTGCCTAAATCAGTACCGGTGCCTAAGCCGTACCCAGTGCCGGTGCCGGTCAAAGTACCGAAGCCAGTGGTGGTACCGGTATTCAAGACTGTCCCGTATCCCGTTCCCAAACCAGTTCACAAAATYATTCCTATAATTAAAGAAGTACCATATTTGGTGAAGAAGCATGTTCCAGTTTTGTGAGTATACCATTACATACCATTCCTATACCATTACTATACCTCTACTATACCATTACTATACCATTACTTTACCCTTACAATACCATTATCTTTGATGCCTTTCCCAACCCATCACTCATAATCACTGTTTCCCTACTTTTATACCCCCTATTAATCACATCTAAATTTAAAACTATTCTAAACTTATCAAAAAACTTCTCATTCAAAAAAGTCTTTCTTTCAATCAAAACAATTGTTTATATTATTTTTTGACAAAACAATTAAAAATCTTATTCTCTAATTATTATATGATTGCCTTCAATGACCAATTTATGCTGTTTGGTACTCAATTATATGACACAAACAATAATAACAACAACACATCCGATACTATCGTAATATTGAATATATATATATGAAAAATACAGAGTCGAGCATCACTACAAAGAAGTTAAGTTACCGATGAAAAAAGGATACGGCTATTGATGGACTCATTGTTTGTTTTAGTTGTTGTAATATATAGTAAACAAAATATATACTGTTGTTGAATGTGTTTGTAATTAACGTTATAAACGATTAACTGATTTTTTATCTAATTAATATTATAAAAAAAGTTTTTATTTTTTTTGAAAATATTATGTAAATAGTACTCAAAATAAAATCTAATTGTAAAACAATAATAACAATATAAACTCACTCCATATACAGTATTATATAATATAATAATGTAAATCTAAAAATGTTTAAAACTTTTTGGTAATTTGATTTTTGCCTCAAACCAATACAAACTCAATTCAAACTAAAACTTAAGACTCGACGCTTCAATAACTGCTTTAATAGTAGTATATTATTACATATAGTATTATAATACTACAGTCTTAATATGGGATCTATATCGGGATATACTTTAAATAGTACAGTATGTATATGTAATTATTATTAGAAAATCAATGGTGTCTTTTAAGGATTGGTGAAAACTTTACAAACAAAAACTATTTTATTATAATTTTATTTATCTATAATTATTATTATTATTATTATTATTATTATTGACCTACCAATCAGTTTATGTAATACGATATCATTTACTGGACAAGCGCTCAGAATCCCATATAATCTCACAAAAACAATATAATAATTATTATTGTTTTAATTTCATTAACTTGTCTCTCATTATAAAACAAATATCTCTTTCACAAAACATATAACATATTTCTGTATCTTTTTTAGCTCTACTTTTTAATGCATTTTTATTAAGGTTTCAATTCTTTTGTTAAAAATTTTATTATTATTATTATAAAATTGTTTTATGCTTTTTATATATTTTTTATATAATAAAAACATAAGAAGAGAGTTTCTTAAATATTTTTAAAGTTAAATAATTTAATACATTTGTTAATTTGCATATTTTAAAATAGCATAAATTTTGTTTTTTAGTTTTATAATTATTTTAATTAACTTTCTTTATGAAACTTTAATTTGTTGTTTACATAGTATTTAAATAACTGTTATTTTGAGATAAGATTAATTGTAATTTATATAAAATATTACTATACTTTCTTAATGTATTATTACATTCATAATTGTATATAATATACAAAAATGATTAAATAAAAATGTTTTATAAAAATAGATTTGTTTTAATATAAATGTTTCATTTATCGTAATGTTGTTATTATTATTGCAATACAAAAATAGTAAATAATAGATTCTAAATAATAATAAAATTAAAAATAAGTTGTAAAATAGTATTGAGTGCTTATATACAGTAAATATAAAAACAAGCTTATATTAAAACTGTATATAAAATTATCAAACATTAATATAGCATTGTGTACTGTAAATAGCAACTAAATAATATATATTATTGATTTATAAATTTTATAAATAAAATAACATAATAAATATAACTATACAGCAATATTGAACAAAGTGGAAATTTATAAAATTTTTAAAATTAAATGGTAAGATTCAAATCGAGTTATTTTAAAAGTTTATTTTATCATATATTTTTAAAAATTATTAAAATTATAACATTTTAATGTTTTCAATTATTTTTATATTATTATTAATAGTTTAAGTTTGAATAGTCACATGGCTAACAATATTTACAAAAAAAACTTAAATTATTACATTTAAAAAAAATAAAAATAATTTGCTAATAGTAAACATAGTAAACATAATAAATTTAAGGATTTATAATAATATATTTGAAATGTTATATAATACAGGAATAATCCGATTATTTTGTATTTTAAAAATATTTTTACATTATTTTATTAGAATGATAAATTATCAGTTTATAAATATAAAACAAATTTAATAAAGCAAAAAATTTTAAATCAATTTTTGAAATCAAATACCGTACAATTGCATACAATTAATAGTTAAATAAAAATATTATAACATTTGCTGTTATCTCATGTGAATAAAACAGAAATTTTAATTAAATTAAATAGTTTATCAAAGATTTAGTTTTATAGTTTTTTTTGTTAGCACTATAATACATGATATAAAATTAAATATAAAATATAATTCGTTTTATAAAAATATTATTAATACAAATTGTTAAATATAAAATACTTAATATTTAAAAATTGTTTATTAAAAAAAACATTTTGAATAGATTTTTAAATAATATAAAAACGCTTAAAAAATAAGAGAGAGAGAGAGAGAGAGAGAGAGAGAGAGAGAGAGAGAGAGAGAGAGAGAGAGAGAGAGAATATAAATTAGAGATGAGGTTTATATCGTGTTGTTTATTGTGTTGTTTTGTAAAATTTTTATATTTTATTTAAATGACATAATTGTCAAGTCGTGTGTGAAATACGTCTATAAATCGGTGTTCAAAATGTCTGTAAAAGAATATTTGTCTTTAAATTGAAGAGCTTTTCGGTAAACTTATTGTTTTCTCAAAGATATACTGGTTTTGGATAGACATCATTGGCAATGAAGTCTTATAAAAGGAGAAAAAGAGATTATAATATAATCGTAGAAATAATACAATAAAACCATTGCTTTAACTATTATTTATATATAGTTTGCATAAGTGTTGAGTCTTATCGAGAAAATAGTGCGTGTCTTCAGTCTTACTCAACATATCACTAGTTTTTGGCGATTATTGTAAATATTTTGTTAACATTAATATAGAGAGAAAAAGAGTATAAAACTAATGAGTAAAAAATCTAATGTATTAAACGATTAACTATTTTCAAACAATAATTTTAATTATAATTATTGTGATAATAAATCAAATTGTTTTTATATATATTAATATATTTATAAATTATTTTTTTGTTATAAAAAATTTAAAATATTTTATTTTAGTGTCACTTATTATTTAATATTTATTAATTATTATAAAATTTATATACTAAAAAATCATTAACATCTTAATTATTTTTATTAAATTGTAAATAWTTTTTWAAAAAAATCTTATTTAAAGTAATATAGTTTTAGTTATGATTTTGAAATAAATACTTTGAAACTATAAAAGTAGACTTTAATTAACTTTAATTAAAATAATGTCTTTATTATATTACATAAAACACTATCAGATTATACTCTATTGTAGAAAATACTATAATTAAATAAAATAATAGCTTTTTTATCATCAAATTGATAGTAACTTTAAAAAGATAATTAATCTCAAATAATCACATTATATAAATTATAGTTTATAATTTAATTAAATTACTTTTCTAAATTTATTTTTTATTAAATAACACAATAAATATATTGATTATCAAATAATAATTTTAAACCTTATAATAATAATAGATATTTATATAAACTAAATTATAATTGAATGTTTAGTGTAGTTTAGTGGATAAATATACTAATTAACATTTATATTTAGATATATATATATATATATATATCATATATATATTAATAAATATAAAAAACATAAATAAAAAATATAATCTTTTGAAATAACTGTTATAATAAAGTGAATATTAAAATTAAAAAATAACATTTAARAGGCAATGACATTACATATGATTAAACATGAGATACAACTTTCAAACTTTCAACGATTTGTGAATTGCATTTCATTTGAGACACAAAATCAGGTCATCACTAAATTATTATTATTATTATTATTTTATTTACAAATATATCTTAATGTATAAAAAATCTTATTTACTATAAATATTTTTATTATTATTTGTACGACATTATTTAAATGTCTTAATTTAAACATATCATAATAAAAATATATATTAAAAAAAATTGTCCTAAACATTGTTTTATATACATTGTTTTTATTAAAACAACAATAACATAATATGTATTAAAATTATGCTAAATTGTAAAGTCTCTACAAATTTTATAATACATTATAAAAAAATATAAAGTTTTTGATGATATGATAACAAATTACTATAAGATATGTACTTTAATATTGAAGTTATGGGTCATTGAAACAAAAGAATTATTCAAATAATCCGTTTTCAGATATTATATAATATATACATAAATAGTCGGCAAACAAGTCTTGAATGAGATAGAGATGTATATCTTTATAATAATAATTTTAATATAAACGTTACAATTGATTACTAGCCTATGGTTTGTATCATATCATATAATTTTCACCAATTAATGTAAACTTTCGTTATTAAGACTATTGTGCTTTCGTATAGCTTTATGTCACTAAATTGAATGAATAATTAGTTTATTTTTAACTACAAGTACAGTATATTAAGCATATATTTTACTATAACTACAGTATACTAATAAACAGATTACGAGATTAAAGTATTTAAAATACAACAAAAAACGAGGACTTTATTTGCATCACGTTTTTAGAAAAGGGATTATTTTTGCTAACAAAATATGATTATAGTTGTATATACAGTATATAAAATCATTGTCATAACCCCTTAAACATGTTTTTACTCAATAACTTTTAACAAAATTGAAAAGATAACCAACATTTTTATGAAAAACATTTTTAATAATTACAGGAATGCTATCACATGGAAGTGTCGAATCTTTAAAACTATAAGATATACCAAATTTGTAAAAATAAAAATTAATTGATACATGTTTTGGCATTTTTCACAAAACTATGATTCGGACACAAATTACGTTTAAAGATAAAAATATTTATGAATTTTAATTTATATTATATTTTAAATGTATTTTACAGATTTGCTATATCTCTTATTATTTTAAAGATTTCACACCTCCCTAAGCTAGCATCCATGTGCTTAGTAATAATTTAATACATGATACCCTAATGTCGGTTCCAAAAATCCATGTTTATTATACATTTATTGACTAAAAACCTGTTTAAGGGGTTATGACAATGATTTGTATCATAGCTTTACTAAATTAGCCGTAAATTAATGTTACTCTAAATTCTAAGTTAAGTCAATTTAGTTTTTAAAATAATCTAACACTTATCAAAATAGCATTTAAATGTATGTAATTTGAGAAAAACATTTTATATAAATTAAATATTATGTTATTTTAATAAAATTAAGTTATCTTTAGATCATTTTTTTTATGTTTGAAGAATGCTTTAAGTATTAAGTGAGTCTCAAATAACTTCAAGTTCATTGTTTCCAATATTAAATTTTAAACACTTTATTATCAATAAAAGTTTATATTACACTTCAGTATTATATTATAATAATGAATACAATATATATTATATCTGTATATATGCTAAACATAAAACCTATTTGAGGAATTGGGCCGATATTATTAAATATTTTTGTTAAATATTATTTAACAAATCAATAGAAGATATTTTTTTAAATAATAGCTCAAATATTTATTTTAAAAACATTTTTTATATTCATCTATTTATTTAAATATAAATATCAATTGAATATTATATTTCTTAAAAACATAATAAATGCTAAAAATTATTTAAAAAATTATTTTTTTTAAATTAAATTGTGTATCAAAAGCATAAACAAAATATCTGACAACTAAGTGCTGAATATATCAATTCATTGACTTAACTCAATATTTAATATTTTTTATGTTATTTATAACTAATAAACTATTAATGTAAAAAACGATTTTTGACTTGAAGTGATTATTTTTTATAGTTAACACCTAAATATTTCAGTATTTTTTATAAATTTATTTTTCAAATATATATTTAGTAAATAATCTATTGATTTATATTTAATGAAGTTTTATTTTTTTTAATATTGCATTAGTTAATACATTTAATAAAAATAGCTATTTTAATATAACTATTATTTTATGGGCTTTAATTTGTGGGTTTGGAAAATAACTAAATGTTTAAGTTCTATATTAAGTTTATAAAAATAAATAAAATAAAAAAGTTTAGTTTTTTTAAAGATAGAATTAAATTGTTTTGCATCACTTAATTGAATAACTATGGGTCAAAAAAACCAATTGTTTCCAAAACAATGTCTTAAAATATGTTAAAATGTCTTATAATATGTAATCTTAAATTAATTATATGCAATTATTTTATTTATTATTTGAAATATCAACTTTCACTATTTTTTGTCTACATAGTCAACAATTTTATTTTCTAAAAACTAAAATACCTTTCAAAGATATTTATAAAAATATAATAAATAAATTAATAACAGTATTCAAACAGTAACTAAATTAAGAAAATTTCACAAAACATTCAAACTAATTAAATCTCAAAAAACAAAAACACCTGTAATATTGCTGACAAATATAGAAATATTTTATAGTAATATGATTTTTTATAATTAACTTTTTTAAAAATTGAGGACAAACTTTTTAAGTCTAATAATTTTCTCGTATTTTTAAACATTGACTTACAATTTAATATACAGTAGTATTCAATTATAAAAACAATTGCTTTGTTTCAATAATTAATAGTCCAATATTAAAATAGTTTTGTCATCAATATTATAATAACTCTTACTCTCTAAAAAAATAATGAACAARAATTGCTAAATATATTTTTTAAATATAATTTACTATTTCACACAACAAGACAATGATTTTACAAAAATTAGTTAATTAAAATAATGCATATGTAATTAAAAATAACAATAAATTAATTTATCATCGTGATTTAAAATAGTTAAATTTTGATAAATAATTAATATGTTTTTAACATATTTTGTTTTAATCAAATGCATATTAACAAACAATTAGTATATTTTTAATGATATCCATATATCGTTAAAATTTCAATAAGTTTTCAAATTACTTTAATAAAAACCATTTCTTTGTTAATTGAGTTTATATTTGATAGAAATTATAGCTTTTTATATTATTAAGTTTATACTAATTATTATATTAATTCATATAACATACTGTAGATGTTGTTATATAAATATAAAAATATCAATCAAAGATTAAATTTATAAAAATCTTAGTTAAAATACTTTGATTAAGTTATATCAATATTTTTAAAATATAGTTTATATTTATTTTTGAAAACTAAACTTTTTTATTAATAAATGCTTCAACATTTGACAAATTCACTTATAATAAGTTTTATATTTTATTGAGTATATTAATAAAGCTAATTGTAGTTAATTAATTGTAATATATAGTATTAAATTTATTAACTAATAATAAGCTAACCATTGATTTTAGTTAGAATTGAGAAACATTTTCTTAAAAATAACATTTAAATTGTATTACTTTCTATTATTTTACAAATATACTGTATATATATTCGTTTAATAAATTTTTTAACTATTTTTTTAAAACAATTTCTTACTTTATAATATTTTTAAATATGTGCATATTTTTCTAATTATTAAATATATTTATACAAAATTCAGATATGTTATAATAAATTTTATAATCAATTTATGGTTATTAAGAAAAAGCCAAAATCCTATTATTTAGTTTTACTTATTTAATTATTGTAATAAATTAGTGGTTGGTTTTTATCGTTATTTTTATCAATTGAGTATAAATTTATTTACTATATATACTATCTATAAGTAATATAAAAAGTAATATACTTTTGACAAACAAACAAATTAAAGTTTAATTGTCTTAAAAAGTAAATATAATTTTTACAATAAATAAAAATTATTTTAATATATTTATATTAGCAAATTTTTTAATGCAGTTATTATAAATATATTTTGAWTTTGTTAAAAACTAAAGTTAATTATTTATAAATTAGTTATAAATGGGAATTATATTATTATGTTTGTTGTCTTATTTTTATGTTAATTTTACTTATAATAATAACAATTACAATATCAAAAATAAATAAATAAATAATTGCATATAATTGATGTCTTTATTATTCAATTAAGTGATTATTTTATATAATTATACTATTATTTTAAGTATTATGTTAAGTAAGTATTTCGTTAAAATCTTTTTTTCAAAATAAATATTAATGAAATTATAAATATTAAAATTATTGTTTCCTTATTATAAAATATGTGATTTTTTATTATAGAAAGTTTTCCTTAAAATTTGCAATTTTAATATATTTTTATCGGATTTACTAAAAATAATGCTATTTTATGCTAATTTTGATAAAATACAATATTTTTGAAAATTATAATTAAATATTAGCATATTTGGCAAATAAATGGTTATTTACATTTATACTTTTATTTTCTTATAGGCTAAACAAAAACTTTCAAAAACAAAATATTTTTAAATAAACATTTTTGGCTAATATTAGCTTAAAGACAATTAAATTTGTTTGTTATGTTTTCATTTAAGTCAAACAAACTGAGATAAATGTTTAAATAACTAAAATGTGTGTAAATGACTCAATTAATATTTATTTAGTRTAATGTTAAGGAGTTTTAGTTTGTTTTATGTTATGCACGCTAAAGGTTACTGTCCTATTGAGTGGACTCATCAATGTCTTTATTAGACGATATRTGACACCAATTGTCTTATAGTTATACTTTTCCGTTACTCTCTCTCTCTCTCTCTCTTTCTTTCTTTCTTTTTTTAGTTCGGGCTCTGGTATTACAATGGACGTAAACGGGCAGTGCATAGCATAGGTTAGACCAAATTGAAAGGAAGGTATAGGAAGGTCTGTTCCACATTTGTCTTATAGGATTATATTACTAAAGTAATGGGGTGTTAGCTCTGTTAGTTTGCTCCAGTGGTTACTATTTTGTACACAACTATATAAAGTGAAATTAGATTAGGTATTAGTGACACAACACTACTACTTATAAAAGTAGATCACAATATTGCATAACAAGTACATTGTAAGTGACAGTAATTGTCTATTTTGTTATTGTTTTTGTTTTGTTATAATAATGTTTAATATTTTTTTTAAATTATTGTTTTAAAATTAGAAGATTTGAAGACATGAAGAGATTAATAATTATTGGGTTTTGTGTGGCACTAGTGTTGACACAAGAATATGAAGGCGGAAGCGATGATGGATATGAAGAAGCAGGTGATGATGACGCCGGCGGTTATGCCGGAGGCTATGAGGGTGAAGGTTTTGGTGGTGGAGGTGCCAACTATGGCGGCGCTAACTTAGAACAATATGCTCCCGGCATTGCCAGTGCTCTCGGACAGGCTGGTGTAGGTGCTTATGATGCCGCAGGTATTGGTGGTGATGGTGGCTATAGTGAAGGCACTGATGATAGTGAATCAGGTGGTGCTGAAGATGCCGCTGCTCTCTATGCACAGGCAGCTGTTGGTGCTGGTGGTGATGGTGTCGATCTCAGCGGATATGCACACCAGGGGATGACATTTTAGTGGTGTATGTGTTAATAGCTATTGATTGTCGTGTACTTTCATTTAAATTATCATTATTTATGTTTAATTAACATTTAACTATTGATTATTGAAAGTTTTGATTTTATTTATAAGACATTAGATTTGTATTTATTTTGCAAAATTATAATAGATTTGAGAATTATATTTAATGCAACTTATATTTTAACTTAATATTTAGCTAATCAGTTAAGTTTTTATTAATTACCTATTTAAATGATATTTAAAAATACAAAGAAAATTTAAGGTATTTTATTAATTTAGCATTTTTAAAAATTTTTATTTTCATATAAACTTTACATTTAGTAATATTTGAATCAAAACTAATAGCAATAATCGTATAGTTTATTTCCATAATTCAATTTAAACATATTTTTTATTGCATCATTCAATTGTATATAGTTTTCATATATTATATCAATTAAAAAATAAAATTATAGTTTTGTTTAAATATATCTCGATATAATTATACAAAAAAAGAGTATATAAACAGTATTTTATTTGCCATCAAATTGGAAAAATTTCTGAAAAACTATTTTAAATTAAATATATACATGTATTATTGATGGCCAGATAATTATAGATTTCGTGATTGCATTCAAAGTATCTATGCTCTTAAATATATTATATTTCATATTACAAAGTGTAACATTAAATTAAATTTAATATTTATATATATAACAAAGTAGTCTAATATTAGATAAAAAATTATTTAAAAAAATAAAACTGTATAATTTATCATTTTATTCTATTTAACAAAACAATAAAACCTAAATTATACCATTAAAATGCCCACAAGCTTTATATAACTGTCATTTCCAATCGTAAAACATATAAAACTTTGTCTAAATAAAAACATTTTATTGTATAAAGATATACTGTATTATAGTCAGTGTATCGTAAATAGCGTTAATAATATTTGTTTTCAAGCAAATCCGTATATTAATAAATAATAATAATCTGTAACTAATTTAATTAAAGTAAGTTTCAAAATAGGTTTCGTGTTTTGTCGGAATTATTTTTTTGAAGCTTTAGGAAACAAAAATAAAACTTTTAAATAAATAAAGATATGTATGTTTTAAATAAACAATATCAACTTATAATAACATGATATTAGTTATATGCAAATAAGATATAATTATTATATAATACATTATATTAGTTTATTTTAAAGCATATTATATTTATCGGTAAATTAATCTAAAGAAACTATAGTAATAAGATAATTATTGTACTAAATTTAATTATAATATTTTATTTCTCATATTTAAGACAATATTGTTTAATGATTATTAGACTTCAATTTTGTTGACACAAGATCAATTAAAAAAATAAAAATTTAAAAATAATTTTTTACATATATTTAAATATTSATATATCATACAGTATAATCACTAATTATATAATAATAGTAATATTTTTTATTTTAAATAATTTTTCAATTTATTGTTATCAATGTTTTATATAATAATTATTGTGACAATAATCTTTATAAAAGTTTTTTTTATTAAATATTTTTTCAGAATATTTAAAAATATCTATTAATATAATCATTGTACGCAATTTCAAGCAATTATCACAATTGCAGCAATTAAAAGTTGAATAGTGAAAAATTAATATTATTTATAAAAATAAATAAAATAGAGATAAGTTTAAAATATTTGAAAATTTTTTTAAACAATCAATGATATCATCCATTAATCACTAATTAATTAATAGTTAGTGTACTRTAATAATAATGCTAAAAAATAATTAATGATTAAAAATTAATAATTCAATTAATATGTTTATAGTAAATATTATGTCAACAGAGCACTCAATTTATTTGAAAACTCATTTTAGTTTATTAATTTATTTACAATTTTGAAATATATTACAGTATCATATAATATAAGTCACAATGAACTTGAAATATGATAGACCGGATCGCCCGGAGCTAACTGTTTAATCGTCACAATCAATATTTAGCATAAAAACTGTTAGTTTAACATTAATCTAGTAATAAATTATATATTCATATACTGTATAATATATATAAAAATGAATTCATTAGTGATTAAATCAGTTTATATATGTTAAGAGTTGTGTTCAATGATTTTTTAGTAGACTTAAGGTCATTAATTCTTGACAGAGGATAAGAGAGAGAGAGAGAGAGAGAGAGAGAGAGAGAGAGAGAGAGAGAGAGAGAGCATATATATAGAGAGATCATTCTCCTCTGGATCTGCTCAATGATATCAATGGTATCAATGGCCTACTCTCTGATCTTTGATCTCAATTTATCGCTCTTCTGACACCATTTCCTACATTAGTATAACATTACATATTATGCCAAAAGAAAGCTTACATTCATTTTTATACTTTTCTGTTTCAAAAAACATATATTTAAACGTTTAAAAGTATTTATCAATTGCTTTCATCCCTTTCAATCTCTTTGGTGGTTAAAAAATATTACATTTAATTGGTCGGTAAGTTTTTCTTATTAAAACATTATTAAATTTTATATAATTATTATTATATTTTATTATTTATTGTTTTTATTTAAAGTTATGAAAACAATGATTGATAATCTACTTATTAAGTATATAAGACGGAGATTCATATTAATTATTTTATTAATAACTTGTGTTGAATCGGCCAAACTGGGACTGGTAGGCACAGGACTGTTACTCAACTCATTAAGCAAAACAATGATAATACCATTTCCATGTAAATTCATTTGATTATTTCATTCAAATCCTAATAATGACCAATTATTTGATTTAATTAAATTAATAATTTATGATAAAAATCAATCCAACAGTTCCATTGCCATTGCAAATTGAATATGGACCGGGACCTGCTTATATACAAGCCAAACCTCAATTGGTGCCAGGTCTGTCATATTGTTTTCATTATAAACACTTTAATAGATCACGTATTTAGACACATAATTATATATTATCTGTTTGTCTTTGTTTTTATCACATCAAACAGTTCCGCATCCAATTCCCAGTAAGATCTCTAATAAAAATAAAAAATATTTATCAAAAATTGTTTATTGATTTGTATAATTTACCATTTTTTTAGTTCCCATTCCCATTCACGTTGATATACCGTAAGTAATTGATGTCATATAATATTAAATGTTTTTGTTTATCGCTTTAACAAATAATTTAAATATTAGTCAATATTTAAACTTTAAATCTTTATACCTCTAAAATATATATTTATTTTAATGCATATTATTGTACATTAGGCAGATTCTTGTCAGCAAATATTAAGTAAAATATAAATAAATTTTAAAAACTACAAATAACTTAAACTGAGTAAATGTGATTTTACATATATATATATATATATATATATATATATATACAGTCGATGACAAAATAGATGAACGAGGTTTTTTGTGTATATCTTTAGAATGGAAAAGAACTAGAATAAAAAAAAATTTTTGCTACTATTATTTATTGGGACGGTCAGTTTGGTATTGTCACTTTTTTTGTAATTGGGCACAGGTATGCAAGGACAGGGATGGTCAATATCTCGAAAACTATAATAGATATTAAAGTTTTATAAATTGCTAATTATACTAAATCAAAAAATATTGGACACGTGTTTTGGCATTTTTAATTTTATTGCAAAGTATTCGAACAAAATTAATTTGTTTGTTGCAAAAATCAAAATTTAGGAGGTCATATCTTTTAAAAGCATCGATTTATCATGATTTAGTAAATTGTTTTAAATTCTATATTTTAGTACTAACAATTCATCTATACATTAAATTTAGTTAGCTTGTTTAGTTTTTAAAATATTTGTAAATTAATTTTTTTCTATTATAATTTTTTATAGATTTTGTTATCAATGTTATATAATAGAAGACAATAATTAGTACTTAATTACAATAGAAAAAAGTTAATTTACAAATATTTTAAAAACTAAACAAGCTAACTAAATTTAATGTATAGATGAATTGTTAGTACTAAAATATAGAATTTAAAACAATTTACTAAATCATGATAAATCGATGCTTTTAAAAGATATGACCTCCTAAATTTTGATTTTTGCAACAAACAAATTAATTTTGTTCGAATACTTTGCAATAAAATTAAAAATGCCAAAACACGTGTCCAATATTTTTTGATTTAGTATAATTAGCAATTTATAAAACTTTAATATCTATTATAGTTTTCGAGATATTGACCATCCCTGTCCTTGCATACCTGTGCCCAATTACAWAAAAGTGACAATACCAAACTGACCGTCCCAGTAAATAATAGTAGCAAAAATTTTTTTTTGTTCTAGTTCCTTTCCATTCTCAAGATATATACAAAAAACCTCGTTCATCTATTTTGTCATCGACTGTATATATATATATACTGTAATAAATATTATTGTTTAGATGTAATTATTAATTAATATTACAATTTCAATAGTTTTTTCAATGTTAATAAATATTTCCAAAATTTTTTTATTAATATTTATGCAATTTCAAAATAAAACAAATAAAATTTAACTCTAGTTTTAAAATATAATGTTTTATATTTTTATACGGTTTTTCTCAAAATATTTTTGTCAGATTTAATATTTAATGATAATATGTTTAAAAAGTATTTTATCTAATTTTTTATTGATAAAACTTAACATTTTCAGAAAATCATATCAGATTTTATTTAGAAATTAATTAATGTTTTCTTACTCTTATTTAAAAGTAGATTTGAATTTATCTTAACTTAAGATTAGTTAACAGATAAACTTTAATAAATAAAGTAAAATATAAATTTATGTTTAATTTACAAGTTGTAAATTAATTAAATTTGATATCAAATAGTTATATAAATTTATTTTATACAATATTTTGCTTCGATTTATTTAATTAGTTTATTATTTTTGAGTAATTAAACTTTTAAAACAAAACAAAAATCCTTTAATATAACAATTATTTATATAAATATAATACTTAAAAATATTTATTTATTATATTATATAAATGGTTATCATTTAAAATGATACCACTTTTGCAGTAATAGTCACAAATCGGTGGTTCGCCGAATGGATCCAATGAATAGCAAACCATTTAATCCATATTGTGATTACCAAACCCTATCAAATGTCGACTCAAAGATCGTATCCCACGAGCCGTTGCCGACTACCATAAAAGGCCGAACCATTTTGAGACATTGCATGCAACCCGTGTACGCAAACTTTTATTATTATTTTTTTATTTCACAAAATATGCCGATCCTTATCTCATATAAATTATATATATATATATCTTTATTTGTATGGTTTAGTCCCAAAGTAAATAGTGGTAAATATCAAGTTTTATTTAAAGGCAACCAAAAGAGCAGCTTTGGATCCATTCGTGTTTCCATCACTTTGTGATTATATCATATCATATAATTTATTTGTTTTTTTATAAGCCAATTTATTGGTAATTATAAAAATTTATTCAATAATTTAATTTACTGTAATATAATATGTAATTAATTTTTTTATAAACTTCTATACCTTTATTAGTTTAACATTTATAAATTCAGTTGTGATAAATATATAATTTTTTCAGAATTTAAATTGTATTATATATTAAATATCTTATATAGTGTTTATGCATAGCATATATCTATTAATCGAAACTTAACTTTTTAATTGATTAATTAATTACAAGTTGGTTGACAAACAATAGTTATTAAGATTTATAATTATATCATTTTAATACTTATAATAAATAATATATTAAATTATATTTAAAAAAATAAATATTAACTGGAATTAAATAATATTAACTTGTATAAAACCATTATAAAACAATGGTGTCAATGCAATAATATAATTAATTGTACACTTGAAACCAAAGTGACCATGGTCATTAATGTAGACATTACATGATCAGCACTATATTACCAAATAAATGTTTTATTTATAAATGATTTCATCAAATTCAATAATTTAAGTAGAAACTGTAGAAAAATGTTCATGGTAATATTTGATGTTCATATTAATGTTTATCACTTTGGGATCATATATACACCGATAACTAAAAAATGACATTTAATTAATAATTATAATATATATTCTGTATTGAGATTATAATAAGACATTTGTAATGTGTTGTCAATAGAGTGCGTCAGACGTCTCATTCAATCTCAAGTCAATCTGAATACATGACTGACGATGGATGGCGTCATCAACGGTTGGGATCGGCATCTAGTGATCGGCCAACTGTCGATCGATCACCATTTGATCCAAACCAATGGCAATGGTAGTCATCATTATATTTTGTGTCTTATATTTATGGCAATCCATATGCTTTGGTGATTGGGTTTGAGTGACACTTATATCATACCTATTGCTAACTTTGATGTCGGCTTTACGTTAGAATAAAGGGTTTAAAAATAACTCAATTTTAATGAATGCTATCAATCAAAGGGCACCCACTGTTCAAAAACTATTGTATGTATTGTAGTCTTAAAACAATTGTCTATCAAATAATAACAATAACTAACTAATTATTAGTAACATATTTTTGCAATTTATATATAGGGCTTAAAATAGGACTCATTTTTTCATTATTTCCATTCGGGTTTTGTAATCAAATGCAGTCAATTTAATTTACCCTTACTTTACAATAAACTTATTTATATTTATTGACTCTTAAGTTAATTAATTATTAATAACATTTATTTACTTTATTAGCAATTATCTTAATGAGATTTTTTTTGGAGGAAACTAATTAATAAATTATTTTTAATAAATATATTACTTATATTATTTAAATAACAACTATCAAGTAAATAAATTCATTATTTTAGTAAATTTTTTTATAATGATTATTACATTACTTTTTTTAATTAGTGTCGTTTTTGTCTATTAAAAAACTTATTTCATTTGGTATATAATATTTTTAAAAAAAACTTTAAGATAAATTAAGTATGATATATCATAAGTTTACAGTATAGTATATACGCAATTTACAAATTTAAAACTAATACAGTATATAAGTATTTAATTGTTAAAGAATTAAAAAACTAATAATTTTTTATATAGTATTATAAATATGATTATATATATATATATATATATATATATATAATTTATATTTACCTCTAAGCACCGATTTTGATAATAATTTTTTAATTATAACCATTAAAAGTAGGTATCATTAAGTTATTACATCTGAATTTGTGTTGTTTGTAGTAAAAAACTATTATATATTTGTGAAAAATATCTATAAATATAAATAAATATTATATACCTTAAAAATTGGTAAATCTTATAAGTAAAATATTAACTCAAAAAGTAAAAATTTTAGTGTAAATTATTATCACAATTAARTCACAAATATTACAGGTTTACTAAAGTCGACATGTGTTTTGGATTAAATTATTGATAAAAAAATTTTTGCAATAAATATCAATTGGCGTATTGAATGTCAATAACCATTTAAATTGAAGTATTTATTTATTATAAATTGTAAATAAAAAAAATTATATATATTATATATTACCTAAATTCGTAGCTTTAATTAAAAGCGTTTACTCATTATTTTTTTATTTCCTTATGAATTTGCAAAATCATGTGCAATGATAACCAAAATAGTAAGTTATTTAATTAAATATATTTTTGTACAACAAATWAACTCTAAGGAAATGGCTGTTTATATTATACCATAAAATATCAAATATATTTAATAATATTATAAATCAATAAAATTCATTTGTGTCATTAATTTTGTTATAACCAATTCTTGTGCTAATCAATTATAATTGGTATATAATAACGCAAACAATTTCTATATATTTATTTTTTTATTTGAGAAATACAATTTTTTATATAAGTTATTAATTTATTTATCAGATTTACTAAAAATAAATAAATAATTTAAAAATACTAAAATTAATTAATTACAAAAAAATAAAGCAATATTTACTATAACATAAATATTTTAGTAAAACATATTAAATAAATTTTATTTTTTATAAAATATTTTTTTGATAATAATATTAATTATA